TACTCGCCAAATCCTTCGGGCCAGAAGTTGGGAACCTCCCAGACGTGACTGGTGTAGATGCCTCTCTTCGTAATGATGATGATTCCACTACAGCCCCAGAGAGGCCCGGTACCTCCCATCAGAGGCTTGTCTCCCCAAACATCGGCATGCATTGTGGAATAGCCGACCTTCAATTTCTCTCTGCCAACGAATTTACCAAGGGGTCTCCAATGATCCAGGCCATCGCAATAGTGAGCCAAGTACTTCCAAGCGCGGTCGAACCATGTTCGTTGTTCGTGACTATTTCTCGACAACTTCTCCCATGAAACGTCGGGGAGTCCTTCGGGTCCACCGAGAATCTCAGGGTCTGGCTGAGGATTCCAATTGACGTATTCGGATCGTTTCGAAAGATCTGATCTCTTGTTCTTGCAGCTTGAGCAGCTCGAGTCAACGCCACCACAGTAGATTTCTGTAGGAGTCGCCGACACAGTCGTTATGGTCGTCGTTGTAGAAGTATCGACGATGGTGCTACAAGTTATAGAGGGTCTGCAGGTGGCCAAGTTACAGCTGGTGGTAAAGCTTGTAGACGAGTCAGAACCTACGATAGGACTGGCGGTACATCCTTGGTTGCAGTCGGGGTAGACGGTGGTAGTTGCCGTGCAGGAAACTGCATATGAGGAAGTAGGTGTCTCGGAAGGCTCTGAAACGTCATTCTCAGGGTCTTCGGGGTCGGTAGCGTCGTCTTTCCTAACTTTGCGAGGCTTGCCCTTGGGCTTCTTAGGAGGCGGCTAGATCTTTTGATTAGCAGATGCTTTGAGAACACGGAGACAACAAGAGGGATGGACATACCTTGGCCCAGGGAAAACCGAGAGGGCCTGGAAGTTTGAAGGCTGGGACATCGCAGAGGATGATAGGAATGATGCATCTCGGATGACAGAGAAGCTGTCCTCCGATGCAAGACCATGCGGGGAAGATTGTAGGCCAGGCCTCACCATCGCGAGTCGTTGTTTTTGTCACCTCGGTAGACTTCCAGCTGACCCATGTGAAGGGTTTGGTACCGTCAGGAGGCTGGATCGTGGCAGTCACGTAGAACGATGTAAAATCTCCATTTTCTGAAGACGTAGAAGAGGCGGCCGTGGAACCGGGGCCGCTTGTTCCACTGCTTCCCGGCGCGGCAGTTGAGGTTGAAGTAGGAGAGTGTTTAGTAGAAGAGGCATGTTGCGTAGAGGAGGCGGCGCTGTCTTGTGTACTGCCGGGGGATGGCTTAGTGGATTTGTCGTCATGATTACCCTTGGTGGTAGAAGTCTTGCCATCATCATCATCGCTCTTTTTGGTTGACTCTTGATCCTTCTCGGTAGAGACGATGGGAGCTGTGGTAGGCTGTGGGCTATTCTCTGTTGTAGACGGGGAAGTGGTCGTTGCATAAGCGCTGCTACCACTTGACGCAGATCCTGGCGTGGATGAAGTCTCAGCATTGCGATCAGTGCCAGACGGAAATGTCTGCGGCAAATTGACGATAGTTGTGCCTGGAGTCACATCTGGAGTTGGTTTCTCGATAGAGCTAGAACTGCTCGAGATGCTGCTGGATGATTGAACTGATTGGGAAGTGGTGGTTGACTTCGGGGTCTGGTCGGGGCCTGTGGTGGCACGAGAGGTCTGGGCTGTACCACCATCGGACAAAGATGTCTGCAGCGAAGAGGCAGGGGCAGTGTCGCTTGTGCTGCCAAGCTGGCTCTTTTGGGAGGTGGAGGATGTTTTGGTAGACGACACCGACGAATCCCCATTTCCGGTCTTGGTAGATGTTGTTCCTGAGCTGATTGGCTGGGGACTCTGGACAGAGGAGCCAGGAGATGACAAAGAGACGACTGAATCGGCAATGGTAGAGTTCCAGTTTAAGGTAATCGACGAGGATCCAAGATTGACTGCAGTTGTGTTCCAGTTAGTATGACTGAGAGAGGCACCAGAATGGACGATTGTAGGATTCGAGGATTGAGCCAGGCTGCTTCTAGGACCTCTAGTCGTATTGAGGTAGTGAGAGGAGGACTGGGTAGTAATCAGATCCGAGTTGAAGGAAGAAGAACCCTCAGCGGCGCCACAGGGAATCGTGATGAGGATAGAGGTTGTCACGATGCGAGTTACTACGCGACCTTCCTGAAGTTCAGAAGTAGAGAGGGAAAGACTGGTTCCGTCGGTGGGATCGACTGAGGCGAGTGATTCGGTGAGATCGTCCCGCTTCTTGTGGTCTAGAGGGGGTAATAGAATGGTTAGGTGAATCTGTCCTAAGATTTTCTGTAGAACTGGAGGTTCTTACCTCTGCCGCGAGCCTGGCAGATATTGATCGCAAGAGCAAGGAGCAGGAGCGGGATGAGGCTCTGGCACCAAGCCTTCAGAGAAGACTTGTGCTTGCCCATTGTGACGGGGTTCTCCTCTATTTCAGTGAAGCAAGGGTCTTTCCCGATATCCGGTGATGATAGAATGAAGAGAAAAGACGGATCGCCGTGAAAACGGGGAAGTCGTGGGTGAAGACGACTCGAGATTGGGTGTGTGTGAGAAGAAAAAGAGAAAGCACAACAAAAAGAGGAGGGACCGGAAAAGACCAAACTTTGCTTTGATGCACGTAAAGAAATCTGAAATTTGTGAATGGGCTCACAATCAAAGCGATGTGCGGGCGGGCGGTCAAGAAATCCCTTGTTTTTCGCGATTCCTGGCCTGTCAGTGGGGGAATTGAGTCGAGAGCACGTGAGGGTGAGGTGAAGTGAGACGCCCTATAAATCAAGGGAAGGAACGGGTCAAGGTGAGAAATCAGGCAGCAGATGCTCTTCCGTTTATTATCGAGAATGTTTGCACGTATTCGCCGTGTATACCCAGGTCAGAATGCTCTGGAGGTGAGATAAGAGAATACGGTATTGCTAAATAGTCATGAAGTCACTGCGGCAAGCCCAAAAGATGAAACTTTGGGTCTTCAAAATCTCCAAATCCATAATAGTTTGCTACTTCTGAACTTGTCGTTTGCACATAATCTCTATGTGATTCTGCAAGATTGAGTGAAAATATGAGGATGAGTATATCTTCGGAGGAGCGAGTACAAAGTATCAAAGATCGAGTGTTGCTTAAGACAATTTCGAACCATATGTCATAATCATTGAGAATACAGCACGGGTAGTAAAGTGTCGGACTCTCTTCCATGCATACGGTACCTTACGGAAGGCTCGCTGTACCGCACCTTCTGCGGAGCGAGTCAATTCAATGGCGAGCTAGATATATTGCTTTGGCTTTCCATCGATCTTTAAATGGAGTTTTTTGAACACTCGGACATGGCAATGATAAGTTGCTTTTAGTTGTTCATATCGCTAGCGTTATATAAAAGGTCGGATCGTTATGGTAAAGATTCCCAAGTTAGACGTAACGTAACACGCTCAAGTCAAACAATTCATGTGGCAATTATTTGCAATTGAAAATCGTTCTAGACTTTCCCTGCTTATTGTTTGCCTGAGTCGAATCTGAACTTCACAAGTCCGTTTGAGTGTGGCTGTTGAACCGTATTCGATATTTAGTAAGGGCTTTCTTTTGCTTAATTGCTCAGAAATGATTACAAACGAGGTTCCTTGGCTTGTGCTCTTACCACCGGACGATAGCGCCTAAACACTCAAGTGAGGTATTCTCAACTTCTTCTCCGCAGACATAAGGATGTTCAAATGATCAATGGCAGTTAAAAGGGAACATTTTGTGGTGATCATAAGTATCGCCATCCGCCTGCTGGGAGAATTGCTGCAGTATAGACACCGGCCTAACATCGAGTGGGATTGAGACCGTTGACCTACCGAAGTATCAAATTCGTACCAGAAGCAGAAGCACGCCATTTCTACCGTTATTCATTTCAGTTACTCAATTCAGATACAGCAACGTTGACCAGTTTACGCTGTTGGCTACATATATTCACATGGCCCATGGGGACGAAGCAAACTCTTGCCGTGGAGCTACTTCGTTCTACATTATGCCGCATTCACTACGAAGCATCGTGCACTGCATTATTGGCAAAGAGCCGTACAGGCCTACCACCTTTGGTATCCGCCAAAAATAGCGGCTTCAGGCGTGCCATGCCTATCTGCTGAAGCACGGCGGGCAGCGGCAACGGCTGATCCGTCTTAGCTGAGTATTGACATTCAACCTGGCCAAGAAAGTGTTAAACAAATCGGATCTTTACACAAGGTAGTTCTAAGTTGACGCAAAATACAAAGCCGTTTCAATCTTATCTAAACATCGCAAGCAGCGCGGCTGGTCTTTTCCACCGTCCGAGGGGGGACAATGGGGGCCAAATGATAACCAGCAAACAAACATGGAATATAAGGGTGGGCACCCGTTTGGATGATGGCTACTTAGTACGTCTAGGCGCCGGAAATCCGGCTGGGACAACCATCAGGACGCAACTCCCAACCGCGCATGAACCCCTTGCTCCAACGGCGTTTGTGTTCTCCTGAAGATGTTTGCCAAAAGATAATGCTGGAGAGTGCACGGTTGGTGCATGTATGATGAATCTGGTCAGATCGTCCTAGTCTATCCAACTGCCCAGAGCTGAGAATTGTTCCATTCAAGAGGTAGGTGTTCCGATTCAGGCTTAGACGACGCTTCCCGGACATAGCATACTCTGGATGGATGATTCAGGCAAACGAAGATAAGTATTAAGCTCGACGATGTAACGATCTCATATCTAGCACACCCTCTGTGTCCTGTTGCGTATGACTTTGCTGTGACAATGGCCTTGGTTTGCTATTCGAAAGTGAGAAACAGATTGTGAGTCATGTTTCTCTGTGTCCTCGTAGTTGGCACAGGCTTGGAGTGCAGAAGTTGTCGACACGAAACGTGAACAACATTGTTACCTCCGCCGGAGGTAACCCCGGAGATAAGTATCCTTCAAAGCCCAAATGAATGACGCTCACACACGTGCACCAGTGCCGGAGAGCGGGCTCATCTGGGCGAGAGCAGGGTCTGGCAGCAGAGTTGTTCTCAATGATGCTTTCTTGGTATGATTGATATCTAGATGTCATCTTCATCGGTGTCTATAGCATCCGGCCAAACGAATGGCACCATCTGCGGTCTTTGCGGCACATCTACCTCCGTCTTCCTGCCCGACTTCTGATGCACCCGCGGCAAAAGTAACTTACCCGCTTCTTCATACTCGCAAAATACTCAGAGCCTTCACCTTCTTCTCGCATTGCTCGTCGTTTCAGCGTCCTAGACTTCCGCGTCTTAGGCTGGATGTCTGACCTTGGCCCGAGGCTACAGATCTCGTTCACAAGTCGTTGAATTGCTCTGGCGCCCTCCTCTGGGTCTTCATTCTCCGCAGCTCCGCCCGTGTCCTGTTCGGGGCATTCTGTCATCGTCCCGTCGTCCCGCATCAAAATATCACGTCGCAAGAATTCAATGTCGTGGCCATTCGTGTTGACGAGGAAGCAGTTGGCCGAACGGTCAAAGTATATCGGAATCTCCAAGGGCGAGAGCCCGTCCCACTCCCCAGGTTCAGTGCAGTCGTACGTCCTCTGTATGTCAACCCTTTTCAAAAGAGCTAGTGTACACTCGCTATAGCCTTTCCAGTCCAGCATGTACATCCACCTGCCTTCAGACGGTGCCGGCAGCTCGAGCATGTCGTAGCTATTTCTTTGCTCAACACTCGACTCGGCCTTGTTTAGACGGCAGAAAGGATCACAAATCAGTCGTAGCCTATCCCCTGCGGCTGCTATTATTTCGATGTTTTTACCTCCGTTCTGTAGAGAATTAGTTGCAGCCTGGAGACAAAGGTGAGAAGACTTTTGCGATGTACACACCTCGTCCAGGATTGTTTTCGCGACATTATCCCACTCCCTTTCGCCGGCTTGTAACATCTGTACACCGATTGCGGCTCCGTTCTCTAGAAAGTTTCTGAAGGACATATCTTTGGCTCGAGCAATTGCTGCTCCTCGGGCAATGTTGAAGGTGCTGTTAGGTAGTGACCATAACGAGGCCGGGTCAGTCATATGTATCTCATTGAACTGGTGTGCTTTTGAAGGCATGAGCAAAAACGCCAGGGAACATACCCAAGTTTTCCCATCTCTTCGTGGATGAATTGGGGTGACTCTAAACCCGCAGCCGCGCAGCATCTCCTTAAGCAAGCCTTTGTTGAGATTCTTTGCCGACCCAGGTCGACGTGATCGCCGACGTAGTCCTCGCCCTCGCCGAAAATGGTGATGTAGGAGCTGAAAGAATCCTGTTCGGACCTTGGATCATGCCTTTGGGATGACCTGTCGTCCCATAATGGCTCTAGCTGTTCGGCGCCCGGAGTGTGGTGCACGTGATACAGAACCAGGCGGATGGAGGTGCTTCCCCAGTCAATGCCAAGAACACTGCGATGTCTTCATTAGCGTCGTTGCTCAATCAGTAGTACAGCGAGCTACTCCAGAGTAAAGTCAAGTTCCTTACATGGGCCATTGCCTTTCGGGCGCGCCTAGAGAGGATGGAGGGGGCATGCGGATCAAGGCGCTTCGACGGAGTTATGAAATCCGCGATTGATACGCGGGCGTAGTACTTTAGCAACCAACAATATGGTAGCTACATATGTACGAAGTACGGAGTACAATCGCTGATTTTGTGTGGCGGAGGGTCGTGACGTGCGAGGAAGACTGAGAGAGATGGGCCGACTTAATTTGAGCTTAGGTATTGTAACGAAAGGCCCAGCCCCCTTCCTGGTAAACGGGCCTACACCGCCCGGCCGACTTCAAGTCTCCGGGAAGTCGCAGTGGAAGTAAGGTAAGATTAGTACATGCTTAGGCAATCAGATTTCGCTTAGACTGAGGTAGTCAGCGTTGGATGGTTGGGCGGCATGAATGTACAGGTACGTTGAACGTTGGGGTCTCAGTTGGCTTTCTCGCCTGCATACCCTACTTGTACCCGGCAAACAGCTGAAATGTGACGACCAGGCGGCTAACTTTGGCCAACACGCAAAACGACGCTTGAATGTTGCTAAAATCCTTTGTACTGATATCCTCAGTCCGTGATCCATTCTTCCACCTTCGTCGGCATTGTGCACTCATCATTGGAAGCAGAGCTATGGCGTTGCGTAATTGCCGTCGAGGTACTAGGTACGGAAACTTCCCTATAGGATCAAGCCACCTGAGTTTTATCCAATCATACTTACCTAGGTACCTTCTTTTCCCTACCCCACGACTTTTTAGGAATGGACTCAACAGCAACTGACCAAATCATCTACAGTCATGTTGTAAATAACCCCGTCGCTTCTCAAGTAAGTCTGAAAAATGTGGTAAGAAGAGCTCCTCAGAGAACGTGATGCCTGTAACAATAGTTTTACCCCAGCTACGACTGACGTTGCAATCTCTGCATACCTACCTTACGTACTTGAAGATTAACACTAGAACATGAGCTGACGAGAACATGAATTCTCTAGTCTTGCCCCCTCTGGCCTTAATCCTGTCATTTTCATCTTCTCGCCGAGCAAAGAGGATGAGACACGTATGATCCGTTATATGATAAGTACCAGTGACTAGGTTTATGTCAAGGCAAAGGTGATTCCTACCTAGATTGGACACTCAACTCAATCGGGGCCCTTTCTCGAGCGTTTCTTATATCCGAGATCCGCCTGCCTGCTTCCTCCATCGTATTGAGTCGTCCTACCGCTTTATAAGTCGTTTTTTGTAGGCAGGTTCCTGTACCCTGTCGTCATCACGGCCTGACTCTTTGCGCGGCTCCCCTCCGCCCCTCATCTGCGACACCAACGTCGATCTGGGCCGCTTTTCTGTGGTATTCCTTTGCTGCTGTCCGTGCTGCTGCTGCCCCGGCTGCTTCTCCTTCATCATTTGCGACATGGAGGCATCTATCCTGCTCAACTCCTTAAGTCGATCATTATTTTCCTTCTGCAAATCCTGAATCTGGTCATTCACCGCCTCCGGGTCGCACGGCACAAGCTTCCCCTCCTCGGTCATGAAGATGCCGCTCTCAAAGTCATTATCGTCGCTCCTGACCTGGTCCATGTTGATCAGGCAACACCGCGAAGACGTGTCATATTCGAGGGGAAAGGGACCGTAAGTCATCTTCTCCAGCACGGCTTTGCCCTTCCACGACAACTTGTTCTTGCGGATGATGAGCCCCAACTTACCGTCGCCAAAATCATGCAGTCGTAAGCAGAATTCCCAGTGACCCTTGGTAGGCGGTGCAATCTCGAGTACGTCGTAGCACCATGCCGCCGGGATGTGATCCCATTTCGCTGAGGCTTGCAGCAGAGGATCGCAGACGATCTTGAGCCTCGTGCTCCCGCCGTAGCGCTTTCTAAAGTAGTGGAAACCGTCCTACCAAGTTCAGCATTTGTCAGTAATAGGATGACTGGCATCCACCAACGCAGTTTCTGGTTGACGACACGACGAGCTAGGGAGCTAGAGTTCGAGGGAATCTTACAGAATCGAGAGCAAGAGTAGCCGCGCTCTCCCAGCTTATGAAGCTGCTATTGACGCCCTTCTCCGGGCGACCTATTTGGAAACCGAAAGCGGCGCCCCTGTCAATGAATTCTTGCACCGTTAAATTATCGACTGCCGCAAGTGCAGCACCTTTGCTGATGTTGAAAGAGCTGTAGAGAGGCAGGGAATATTAGCCACTCGTCCAACATCGGTTCTCTTGGAATCGGAAGGTCCAGTCTACATACTCTTTCTCGCCCACCGCCTCGTAAAAGAGGAAGGGCTCGTCAATTTTGAGTTGAGTACAGGCTTGCTGAAGGTTAGCCTGCACCAGACTATTCTTGCCACTGCCGCCGGACAGAACGATCTTAACGTTGGAACCCAGAGCGACAGCAGCGTCAATCTTCTTTCTGGCGAGTCTGAGAGGTGCCTCTAGCCCGTCAATAAAGCATTGTCTGGCATCAGTCGCGCGTAGGTGTACTGAGATACTACTGTGGTTGGTCTGATCTTCCGCGTGCAAGACCATGCTCGCGAATAAGCCTGTCTGGAGCCTCTTGATCTTGAGGTGGAACATCTCTAAGATGTCTGCCCGTTGACTTGGTAGTAAAGTCGATTTGAGTGACTTTTCGACGTAATTTGTTGCAAAATCATCAACTCTTTTCTCCCATAGCTGTGTACCGCCATGAGCGGCTGGGCAGCCAATTGTCAGATGCGGCTCAGTGAATGGACATATCAAGAAGGTGGTAGACTTACTGAAGGGTTCTCCGACTTGGAAATAATTCAACTCATCGCCATTCCGTCGTACTGCGCTGAACATGCATCCATTCTGCACCACCACAGTTAATATTCTTTTCAACTAAAATGACAGGCCATACAGTGCTGTATAGCTAACTAACCATCGTGTGTCCCCCAAAATCAAGAAAAACTAAGTGACAAGGTTCATCCACTTTAGTGAGTATTTGCTTCATGTGGCGCGGGCTCGAGAAGAGAAAGTGAGCCGATGCCAGACTCTCTACGTGAAGCTTGATGTGACCGTGTGCGCTTTCAAACGTACTAGACTCCATCATGACGGCGGCGATTAGGTTCTCGTAGTTGGACAGCTCCTGTGGCGTCCAGTGCGCGGGATACGACAGGCCGACCTCGTCAATGTAGAGCGAGCGATCGGTGCAGAACTTTGTTACCTCCTGAAAGACGGTCCTGACGATGGCTTCCAGGGCCCTACGAATCCTCTTCTCCATACCCCTGAACTTTGCCAAGAGGCCATCGAGGAGCGGGTTTCCGGTCTCGCGATCCTCGCAGAGGAACCATTTTGAGGGGATGGGTGAGCAGCTTTGGTTGTACACCTCGCCAGTGTACACTATGCCGCCGCGGTCATCGACGTAGAGAGTCGAGTTGAAGGCGCCGGTCTGATAGCGGATGTCATGTCCGGGAACCGCGCCGTGGTTCCATATCGGATGCAGCTCCTTAGTCTTGCGGACGCAAATGGTTGCACGTATCGCGGTGCTGCCCCAGTCTATGCCCAAAATGCTGTACATCACCAAGACAGCAGTCGGTCAGATGATGAGATACAAGTTACGCTTTGATAATGTGATGAAGGGTGTTAATACGGAGATGAATGATGTTATGAAGGACTTACGCTGCCTCTGACCTAGCGCGAGCCTTGGACATGGGAAACGGGATGTGACCACTGCTTGAGCTATCACAGTGGCTATTCTGAGATGACGTCTTCGGCTTGAATGAGGCTTGTATATGGCCTATAAGTATGTCTACACTTGAGACGCGTGTGACCAAAAAAGTAAGAGTTTTGCGCGCAGGTTGGGATACGTCGTGGAAGCACTGTGAGCAAAGGTCGGGTACCGTGAATGAAAATGATGAATGGGGTGAGAATACGGATCGATGGGGGTGGGTCAGTCGGTGTTCTGAAGCACGTCCCCCTTTGCGAAAATGGCTGCTATTGTCAGCGACTTTCTAGGCACCTAGGGTGCCAGTACATGGGGACAGGATCAAGTACATTAGGGCCTGGAGGCAGGCAAGGATAAGCGGATCGGTATCAAGGGCAAGAACTTATACAAAGACAGGATTATTCCATCGGGCAAGCTGAGAAACGTTGGTAGAACGGTGGGAGATTTGATAGATGAGAAACTGCAGCGGCACCTTGTCTCAAGCGCAGACTTTCTGACCAACCCGGACCACGGGCAGAGACGCGTCTTTTCGCGACGCGGCTAGCTACTTAAAGTGAACAGGCACACAGGCTAAGGGGGCCCGTTTGGTTTACATAAACAGGGGCGACGGACCAATTTCACCATCCCATGTGTCCGTACCAGCAGCACATTCCATGTCGCTGCTTGAACGTGCGCTCGGGTAAAAAACAAGCAAACGGGCAGCGTTTGATTTAACGTTGAGTGCACCTTAACCCTGTTAGCTTACCATCTGTAAGGGGCGGAGGGGATGGGTTAGGTACCTTATGGACACTACCTTTTTCGTATTTTGACGTGTACCCAAGATTGCGTCGCCCATCGCATTTGATACGTGGGCTAATAACTCCTTCTCGAGATTGACGATTTCTATAACTCATCCTTGCTCTTCCTAGCAAGCTATTAGAAGCAGAAGAGCTAGTAGGGAGGTTAATCAGACTTTCCCTAGAGGAAAAGAGGCTGAAGTAGCGAATTAAATGTCATGACTTCAACACTTAGACGATAACGTAATTCTAGTCATCCTCGGCCTCGCGTCCAATTGATAGATTCTACCTTGTCCTGTGATATACTCAAACCCTAACTTCCTTCAATAGCTTCCGAGATGACACCTAGAGCCGAAATACTACTACCCTCATGAGAACGCTACCAAGGCTCGTTAGTTGGTGAATGGTACGCTGCGAGATGGTTTGTAACGTAAGTATGCGGAACCACTTACTTGACTTCCGTAAAACCCGGTGATGACCTCTCCAGGAGCTGCAGTGACTAGATAAGAAGCACTGCTCGGCGGGTCGGTGTGAAAGGAGAAGAAGCAGGATCTAGCTCGGTTCGTGGACACCTCCACGTAATTTGTTTATCGTAAGTCTCCCGGAAGACATTGGGCGACGGGCAAGTGAACGTGGGCGACTAACCTTGAATGCAGCTATGAACCCTTCTTCGACCATCCATGTATAGGCATCGTCAGGGTCAACATCCTCCTGAAGAATCTCGATCGCATTGATGAACTCGCCTCCTGGCCCGTCAATCGTGAACTCTATTTCCTTTGTCCACTCTCCAGGCATTTGGCAACCAAACGCTCGGTCTAGTGCCGGGGTATCGTACGTGAAGTCGATACGGCGTATGCCAGCGGCGCCGAGGATGACTTTAAGATTGATAAGTCTTCGAAGATGGATACCGCCTGGGCCACCGAAGGAGGTCCAGAATAGCGGTTTAAATCCGTCTAGATAATGTTCTCTAGGAGGGAAAGAAGCTTCGTTCAAGCAGAGGTTTGGTCCCGGGATCTCAGGGTACCACATCCCCAAATTTCTCAATCTCTTCTCATCCTGTTCTAGTCTTACGAGAGATGGAGACTGTGGAGAGATAGCCAAGCTTACAATTTTGCAACCCTGCGAAGTAAGCATACAGGTATGTGACAGAACTTGCAAGGGTTACTGTACTTACATCAAACCCAATATCAAGACTGTTGATGCGCTCGCCTGCGTTGAAGCGCAGCGTCTTGAGAGACATCTCCGGATTGCCGATCCAGTGGGAGGTCTCGGAATTCTGATTGACGCACTGCAAAGCTTGAACCCCCCTTTCTCCCACAGCTAATTTGAAGCCGTATATGTCTGTGATTTCCACGGACTGCTCGAATGTAGTTTGGTAGCCTATTTGAAATGCATCGCCCGGTGTTGTGGTAAACTTTAGTCCAGCGATGTACTGTATGTCTCCTATAGGAACAGACCAGATAGAAAGCCGCGATAACTTGTCAGGGATCGTCAGGTGGTACGTTTGACGGAGAAGACAACCCTTTTCCAAGCGGGAGTGGTGAGGTCCACTCGGTTTCTCCCACAAATCGCCAGACACTTTTAAACACTGTGCCGCGTCTTGCTTCTGGGAAGGTTCTGAACCACTGTCGATCCATTGGAAATCTAGAGCCGCCACAATTTTCTGGGCCAGATTCCAAATGCGAACCCTGTTCTGGAGGCTAGGACCTATGCGCACATTATTCGTTCGATGGTACAGCCATCTCCAGTCCCGAGGCTGAGCCCCGTCCTGGGATTCAAAAAGCCATGAGCGGTCTGAATTGTATTTGAATCTCGAGGCCCAGAACTGTTGATTGCTGAAAGTCGTCCAGAACGAACGTGAGGCTAGTCGTAGGTTCAATACATCCAAGGTCGGCAGGCAAATGGCGATTGCCGACCGTAGCTCTTCTGGCAGCGCCTGGAAGCTGTCTCGTTCCGGCGATGTTGCATTGAAACTAGGCCCTTCTAGATTTGGCGGCTGTTCAGGGTCCTCGATGAGCAGGTGGTGAGCCTCCTCAGCGTCGCATGGGTTGGCGATGAGAACGGGATCGGGGTCCATGTAGTCTCGGTCGGAAAATCTGTCCTCGAACGGAAAGTGGTGTTCATTATCGACGATACTAGCCCCTCCATAGTTGTGGCCCCAGCTGATGCTTACTGACAGTAGCGGAAATGGGAGTGATTCGCAGACGTCGAATAATCTCGATAAGGGGACTAGGCTTTGATGGAAGGCCTTCTCCAAGAGGTCCCAGCATGCGTCATGGAAAATAAAGCCGTATCTTCCGTTGACTGGAGGAAAGCCCACAGCCCCAAATTGGTCTTCATCTGGATTGTCATAGGTTGGGTCATCCCATCGACCGTTGCTGTCGACTGGGGCGATGAATGCGCCCCTTCCCGGATCATTGTATAAGCCAACACCGGTAAGAATAACACCGGTTGGACTGGAAGTGACTTTGGACAAAATCAGGATGCTTCATACTCGAGACAACGGAGCACTAACCTCCGCGGAACTGATTCAACCAAGAAACGCTGCCTGGTGCATCGACAACGACCCACCCACAGAGAGCGCACGAGCATATACGGGGACTCATGGTCGATGTGGAGGAGAAGACGTGGGAGAAGTTGGTTGTGGGGTCAATGGGGATCGTCTCAAGCCCGTGATAAGGTAAGTAAGGTACGGACACAAAGATAAGGTAGAGAGAGGTTCTAATTTCTTGGGACAAGGTTAGTCCGTCAATTCGATCGAGTACGTACCTACCTTGGCTATCTTACCAAATTGCGAATGGGTTCATACCTTGGGAACTGCTTCAATACTCCATATTAGCCTGTGGGGAACCTGACAGACTCTCTTTCAGTATGTTCTCCGGTAAAATGCCTCACTTAAACGAGTCTTTTCTCAACAACCCTCAAAAATCTGGCCGTAGATGAATCATGATGTACTAGGTAGAAACGGCCGGCTTACATGATGATAGGCGAGTTATTTCGTCAGCCACTGCAAAAAAGCCCCATTCTAATTTGTGATCGCCGTTGGGGGCCTTATGCCCGATAAGAAAACCCAAGCCGGCCTGGTGCCAGTGAAGACAGTGCGTTTACATTCGTGCCCTTTTGGGGTTGTGACGACGACCATTTGCCGCGCGCTTGCCCAAATTTTCCAACATTAACGATATTGAACTAGTCTCTCTTGTTTATTTACATGTGCATTACCTATTCAAGGATAATTGAGGAGATCGCCAAAGTTCGCAATGCTAAGCGGCCTGAGCGTGTTGGTTCGAGGCGCCTGACATAAATAGACTACACCCATCGTCCACCAATCTCGACGGATAACTAGAGTTTAGAGTTCTAGGTTGCATCTTTGGTCACTGGGAAAGCGTCTCTTAGCTGGTCGGTCAATATCACATTGTCGTGTTACGTTATTGATGCCCTGCTATGATACAGTGCTGAAGGTCTGCAGGGGATTCTTTTCGCTATCAACGGTGAAGCTCCTTGTCAAGCGTTACGCTGGGCCTCAGCTCGGCGCCAACAGCGTTCGTCCTAAATAGGGACAACCATGCTATTACATCTCATATCGGGCTCAACTATGATCGGAAATTTGTACATAAAAAACTGGGTTTTCGTTCTGCAGCTCAGAAAGAGCAAGAAAAATTCATTTTCGCTATCATTCTTAAGTATCTGTTTTCGATCTATCTAAGATTCTTGGCGTAAGCTTCACTACCAATCTATCGGTGCTAAGACCCAAGATTCCTGTCTCACATCCAGCATAGTATATGCACCTTCCAGTCATCAAGCGCTACTACAATAACTTGAAGCCCAATTCCCTAGAGGTCGACGTCGACATTCTCTGGAGCAATATTCTCCCCCTATACTTCGACATCCGCAAGGACTATGGAATCGAACCTCAACAGCGACCTTACCCGGGTGTCGTTAAGACAACAGATTTTGTAATTACGGCCGTGAGGAACGGCCAGCCCAAGAAAATTGTTGTCATAGAGGACAAGCGCGTCAGCGACGAAGGATCGGGCGCGGTTTGGCAAGAGGCTGTGACACAAGTCACCGACTACATGAAGGTGGCGAGAACGTCGAACTTTGTAACCTTCAGAAAGACCGAGACCGTGTATGCCATTGTCACAGTCGGCCGCTACTCGCGCTTCTACAAGTTGCGGAAGAACGAGTTGCAATTGGTAGATTTCGACAACACCGGGGGCAAGACTTACGAGTTCAAGAAAGACGAAGAGTCAATTGACGGCATCCTCCTTGACATTGTACAGAAAACGGTGCACTAAGTCGTCATTAGTCCCGAAGATACTGGACATTATACTTGGAGAATTTATGTTATATTAGTGCTCATCCAGTGATTCTCGTTTAGTGACGGTTCTGCTTTTAGGAACAAAGAACGCGAAACGCAGGTTGCCTTCCACTGGTCTATGATATGGAAAAGCTTGCATCTTGCTATGTGGGTCATTAACTATCTACTTCACCATAAATTCTACGTATACTAGGTCCCATTGACTTGGTTCTATCCGGCCTGACTAGAGAAGTAGTGAAGGGTGCACGATCGAAAAGCGTCTCGCATCAGATACACTCCTTGTTCAGCGATGAAGACACAGCCACCATGTTGTCTGTGGGCACCTTGAAGGGAGGTCGCCTCCAAGTTGACGTGGATAATTACCATGTGCTCTCCAGCCGCTTGTCATCATCGTTGCATCGGTCGACGTTCCTTATCCGCGACGCCATCTCCTTTCCGCGCCTGAACCTACTACTGAGTACACCCATTCATCATCGCTTGTGCTCACCTTGTTGGCGGGGATTTCGACAACTATCGCAAAATACGAATATATCTTCCCGGGGGATGGCTCGTTGCCGTACTGCAGCTGTATGTTAGGTCAACCCAAATTTGAAGGTATACGGTGAAACATATTGCAATATACGAAGCCTGAACTTTCTTCCCAGCGTTGCTCTGGTTCAGCCAGACGATTTTGCTGGCGTCGAACTTGATTTTCTGGGTTTCAACGGCCCATTTGATGATGCCTTGCACCTCACTGACATACCGAACCATGGAATCGGCGGCGTATACTTTGTTGAGGACTCCTACAACTCGGGAGGGGTTGTAATCTCCGCTGCTAGAGTCACCACCCGGGTCCAGTTCCTCTGCCAATTCCTTCTTCTTCTCCATGGAATTAGCATCTGTATCCTCATCAGAGAATTTCCCATCTTCAAGCCCTCGCCTTTCATAGCCGATCGGGTTTTCGAGGATAGCACATAAATGGACTTCCAGGCCCAGGCTTTTGAAGGTGTTGTAGAGCACCATGTCGAGACCCTTGAGGCAAAACGGAAGGACATGTTCCTGCTCGGTGTTAGGATAGGCATGCGTGCTGTAGAGTCCCAAAAGTCTGTCCTTGGACTTGAACTTGTCGGACGTGAGCATGGCTAGAATCTTGTTGTAGAGGGGCAGTGAAGTAGGGCTGAAAGCATAGGATTGGCCTCCGAGGTCTCCGTTTCCTGCCGTAGCATACAGGTTGTACGTGAGGGTGATTCTGTGACCAGACTTTACCTCAAACACTTCGTGTTCGCAGTCGCTGTAGAAGGCTGCCCACTGGATAAGGGATTCGTCGGAATTGGTGGCCCAGTCGAAAGTATGGGTATTTTCGAGATGTCTCACAGCCAGCTCGCCGCCCTGGTGCATCATTGGAAGACAGACAGCCAGAGAACCGATTTGGTAGGACGAACGAGGAGTATCGACGTGCGCCTTGAACTTGCCTGACGGCCCGGAGTAGATCTGCGAGGGATCATGTCAGAGAGATCGAGATAATGAGCGATGATGTATCGACCAACTTACGTTCATGTTATACAGCTCTGCACGAATGGACCGTTTATCATTGCCAAAGTCGTAGCTGGGGAGTAGAACTTGGCTGACAGCGGCGATGATGCCCGTTTCATGTGGGCAGAAGAAGGTGGTACAGAAGTCACCGGCACCGAGCTTTTGGGCCTTGCGGTATGTGTCGTCGAATTTGTGTCGTCCTTGGAAGCCGAATGTAGCCTTTTCAGAGACTTTGAGGAGGTGATCGAACGCCTTGGCGTCGTCATATGAACTGACTGGGAAAGAGACTCGATTGGGGTCAGGATGCTCCGCTGGATTGTCCCCACCAAAGAACGACCGTAGCAGATGAGAACTTGTTCTTCTCCGTCTTCTGATCCATTTCGACCTGAGATGCAGGGCTAGATACGCCTTGGGGCTGCGCAATGGGGATCTTGCCGCCAATGGCAAACGTGCTAGCGTCCAGTGATTCAGCTGAAATGGAATCAGAGACCTGCTTGGCAAGCTCTCGGAGAGTAACTGCGGAAGCCATTCTGAATAGTTAGTCTGTACCGGGGAAGGTGCGGTGAAGTATTGTGTATTGTCAATGAATAAGACGGTGGAAGTCGATAGAGCAATGTTGAATGATGAAGAGTAATGATGTTCGTAAAGTAGCTCTATGGCTTATTTATTTTTTCAACGAAATACTATCACCGGTAGTCTTGAATTTGTGTGGGCACCCGAGCGTCGAGGTACCGTACAAACCCCAAAAGAAGGTGACTGAGATACCACAAGGTGCACTGGGTAAACAGCTAATACTTATCGGATTTGTCTGCTTTAGAGATGTTGAATGATGCAGGCCTATAAAGTATCGTACCCACAAGCAGGCATCCAAGACAAATGGCTGCTCAGTTGCCTGGAGAGTTTCTGAATGTTTAAGCAGAAAGGTCCCCTTCATTCAAAATTATGTCTCCAATTTAAGGTTATATGCGGCAAAGAACTTCACATCTCCTAAGGATCTGAACTGCTTATGGCATTATGTAAGACCACCAATTGGTTCAATACAGCTAATATCATACTCAAGCTTGCAATCTTTGCGGGGCCTGTTATGCGATGCCATCCTCCATTACCTTACCTAGGTCACGAACACTTTAGACGCTGCTTATGTCTTTCACCCGGCCATCTCTCCTCATGGACCTTCGCAAACATGCGGGGAAGCTGTGCGTATTCCGTCAAACCAAAGTGGTTGTTGGATGGATGGCTTGTATTATTTTATGCACATCTCCTGCCGCCTCTCAATCGAGGTAGATAAGTACAAAGACATATCGCGGTCGTCGCATATTGGCTGGGTTGAGTGTTGATTTGATTCATCCTGTTTCTGCCCCTTGGGCTAAGCTATGTCCGCTCGATAACGCCATGCCCACATGCGCCGCCCTCAATATCGTACCCTCTTTATGAATTTCACCGAAAATTACCTAGCCTCTGCAGTCATTCGTACACGTCTTTTTCCTCGGTGCGTAAGTAAATTTACGCACTTCGCAACTTTGCATATTCATAGACCCTTTTCAACCTCTGCAAAGGCCTCTGCAAACCCAGGCTCCTTCTTCGTCTCTGCCCATATCCTCTCCTTGAGACCATTTCCCTCAGATGTGTACATCACAGCCGGCCATCTGAATTTATGTTAGTTCCATGATTGCTCCATCCTCGACTCGACAGAGTCGTATGGTTTGACTCACGGCTTGATAAGTCCGTCCGAGGTAAAGCTCCCATGACTCTCCCTGCCCTTCACTATCGCCGCATCAAGATAGCTTCTAGCGCCGACTTCCACGCTTCGACCAATGGTCTTCTTCATGAGGCCCATGAAGAAAGACTCGCTTGCTGGCTTAACGATATTGGTGCCGCTGGTGAGGCCCGAGTTGGCAAGATTGACAATGATCTGGTTTGGGTTGACGTAGGTCGCCAACTTGGCTACAAAAAGCTGGCCCAGAAATTTGGACTGCTGGTAATTCTTTCCCGATTCCCACAGGTATTCCTTGTCAGCCGGCTTGAACATGGAACCTGTCACCATGTCCTCCTCTGGCGTGTGCCAATATGTGAAGTCCGAGCTGACGATAACGAGCCTCGCCTGATCTCCCGCTGGCTTCTTCTGTTTCATGACTGGGAGTAGAAGAAGGGCTAGTAATGTTGTGGAGAGGAAGTTGACCTGGAGCATCAGCTCGTGGCCCTCCCGCGACAGCATAAAATTCTGCGCCACCACCGCAGCGTTGAGGATGACGATGTCGATCCGCGTCAACTCTTTCTTGCACCGTGCGACAAAGTTCCTGACGCTCTCGTATGACTCCATTTCGAGGTGCCATACTTGGATCTGCGCCATGGGGAATTCCCGCCGTAGGCCTTCGGCGAGCGCTTCCCCCTTTGATGTGTTTCGGACTCCCATGATAAGGCGACCAAGTGAGCGCTCGAGGAATTGGCGGCTAGCTTCGAGACCGAGACCACTGCTAGCACCCGTCATGATGAGAGTGCAATCAGATAGGTCGAATTCTTCCGGGATCTCGGCTGGTGTAATGACGGCCTGACGATACAGGAAGGATAGCGGGTTGGCTTCCCAGCCCGCCTGACTAGCCAACTCATTGGACATTTTGGGCGATTGAAAGACAGAGAGGATAAGCTAGGTAAAGGTTTTGGCAATAGTCGTGGCGTCTGTTTCTGGAAATAAGCTTGGAAGAGCTCGAAAGGCGACGTCGACGTTTGATATATCCCGCCGGTCGATCCGACAATTATGGAGCCAAGAAACACCAAACAAGTTGAGAGGGCCCCTGGTTACAGCTCCTGCTCGCATGTGGTCGGAGAAGGGGTTATCTGGTGTGGTATTTGATGTCATGCGGTCGGCTCTTGTGTCGCAGAACCTTTGACTTTGGACCGGGTTCCCCCACGGGGGCGCGGTGTGCTTCGAGGACCGAGCGGGCGGACGTTGAACTTCTTGAGACGCGCCAATGTCCCTCCGGGGGGCCGGACGCTTATTCGCGCTTGGATTCGGCGCTTAAGGGGTGTCGAGGTCTATCATGCGTGCGACGTCAAGCAACCCTCCAGTTTTGTGACATTATGGTGCAGCGTGCTCATCGGGACCTGTCAAGGTCAGTGATGGACGTTTTGCACGAGGGGCTGTTTCGTCGCACGATCTACCGCAAGGTCGACACGGCGCAGGGGTCAGGGATATCGGGATGTTAGGGGTCCACGACGGTCGGTGTGCGAGGTCTAAGAAAAGAAATAGCTGCTTAGTCACCGACTGCAACGCTGTTGACTTTGGTCTCGACATAGAAGTAGTGCACTGAGGCATCGTCTGAATACCTGCGTAACATGCTGCTGCTCCATCTGATGGATGAGATGTTTTTGGGCAAGGCTTTTGTATGAGTGTTTCAACAGGCGCTAAGCTTTTAGCCAGTGTGTCGGGGTGGCATGATGAGAAATGCAAATCGACAGGGCACAATTCACACCGAGATACATCGAAATGGATTACACAGCTCGGTGGGCGAGGCTCGGTGAAGGCCTATGGATGACTCAGCATCTCGATAGTGGCCCGGAGGCACTTCGGGCGAGGCCGGCCATGGTCTGTGCTTGAAGACTAATGACTGGAGATAGGCACGTAGCGAATCTGCCCCTCCCCCTCCAGCTTGATTCGCTCTCGGATGGTGGGGTTGAAGGAAAGGCGGGCGGGACCTGGAACCAGACGAGGGGAGGATAATGCAACCTTGGCCTTTCTGGACGCCGTTTCGTCTTTTTGCCAAACGTCCAGTACCGTCACCGCCAATCCGCTGCCACTTCTCCTTGGGCCACTCTCATCCAAGTAACACAATCAACCACCACCCCTCCCTCTGCCTCTCCGGCCAAACCCGCCTGCAGGATTCGAGAACCGAAGAACCTCTATTCCCTCTTGTCCAATCTAACTTTCTCTTTGTCTCCAACTTCTCCCGCTCATACCCGGATCCGAGTCTCCACAAACGGGACCCCTTGCTCCTCCTCCTCCTCCTCCTCCTCGTTCCTCCGCCGCCGCCGCCGCCGCCGCCTTCTCAGCCTTTTAGATCCCGACCCTCCGTCAGCTCCCTAAAATGTCCGGCCTCGACGCCCCCGAAATCGCCACGGCCTACGATGCCGTCCGCTCCGACAAGGACGAGACGAGCTGGCTCCTCATATCCTACGCCAGCGCCGTCGGCAACAAGATGACCCTCACGAAGACGGGCACCGGCGGCATTTCCGAGCTGGCCTCGGAGCTGGACGACTCACAGGTCCAGTACGCCTACGTCCGCGTCGAGTACGCCAATGACGTCGAGAGCAAGCGCGTCAAGTTCGCCTTCGTCATTTGGATCGGTCAGAACACAAAGATCATGCGCAAGGCCCGCGTTAGCATCGAGAGCAGCGAGGTCAAGAGGGTGCTGCCGCACCACAGCATAACGGTCAACGCCGACCATAAGGGCGACCTGGACGAGGACGATATCGTCAAGCGGTTGCGCAAGGCTGGCGGCGCTGACTATAACGGTGGACGCGGCTAGATGCCAGGCAGGCTCAACCAGCGACGAACCTCCTTTTTGGAGACCAAGGGAGCAACAAAAAACGCACGCATATATTTCAAGGGGGAGTTCAGAGAGTGGCTGTGGCCTGTGAGATATGAGCTACGAGTACAACGGTATCTGGCCAGGCGGAGGCGCTTCAGGGAGCGGCATGCATACTCTTTTCAAATACAGCATACACCTTGGATAAATATTGTGGGACCCAATATGGGGACCTGGCGCAAGCCGAAAGAATCAAGGGACTTTTTTCTTGTTAAGGAGGCCGTCTGCCAGCCCTTCCACCGATTTCAGCGATACGCTAAAACCTAATCATACGTAGGGCGAAGAGTTTAGGACGTCTGTACCCACCCCGCATGATAAGCTCTGGAAGGAAATCCATTTGACCTTCATTACCAGGGCTCAGATGCTGCCATGTCTTGCCATCCAATGTCTCCCGACCTTATATTGCTCTGGATAAGCGTCCCTCAGTCGAACTCTGTCCTCTTCTCGAGCTCAAACGGCATCGTCGTCTGGCGACGGACCAGCATCTGGGACGATCCCTGTACCGTAGGCGCCTCCACATCCGGGGAAATTTGCACATGGAGTAAGCGGGTATGTAAAGCTGTCAGACCAGTAGCGTCGATATGGAAATCCACTCCGTCATCCACGCCGCCCTAGGTACCTGCCCTCTGCGAATCTCTCAAGTGACTTTTCTGGATACGCATCGCCCCGAGCCGAGGCCTCACCGTTTGGCAAATCTAACCCATCTTGCTCCGAGTGGTGCGTCCTGCTGCTCTCTATCCTTACAGGTGCTTCACCGTTCACGTAGTAAATATCTTTGTGGTTCCGTTGTTGGGATGATTGGCTAGCTTTCTTTCTATCAAGTTGCCTACAATGAACCTTTGGGGCTCAATTTACCCTAAAGGCATGCTGACTTTGGACCTATGACTCCTATTCTGGGTCGTAAACGTTTACCTTAGATATTTGAGGTTCTGAGCGGCTTGAGAAGCTGATGATATCACGGAATACATCGACGTTTTCAAAATAGGCGCCGAAGCTGTTCTACGCCGTTCCTTCCATTGGCATCAGTCCCCGGCGCTGAGCTCATGCACCCAGGGCTCGTAACCGGCCCCTGGCCTGGAACCCGAATTCATCTCTTGTATAGTACGAATAGACTTGGATTTATGAAGGTAAATTTCTCGGACTTCTCGGACTTCTCGGACTTGATTGTCGGATAGGCTGCTCCACGGCAAATTTGGTTGAGCCTGGGAGGCTAGTCACAGTAGGCGACGTCAAAAGAACTTCTGCTCCTGTCACCCAAAAGAGCAGGACGGAGAAATACTGCATGTAGATGTACCATCATGGCTGGTGCCTGCTCATCTTGACGGTTGGCGCGCTGAGGCTCCCGTCTACCAGCCAGCCAGCGCCTTAGCTGCCGCTGTGCATGACTGTTCGAGATAATCACCAGACGCCGAGCACATCCTTTCTTGGTTGGCAAATACTCGAGTCCACTGTGTAGCCGCCCCTAGCCGCTTTGGATAATATTGAACATGGTTTTGATAGGGAACATTCTCTCCACAGCCAACGAGTGGGAAAGAACTTCAGTTCTCAGCTTTGCTTGGCATGTGGGTACGCTTTGCTATAGTAATGCTTCTTGGCCCTCGGTCAAAGTCTGAAGAGGCATATTAATATCTCGCATCGAGTCCCGGGTCAGAATAAGCTCACTTTAAGGAGAGAGTTCGGGACTTTGGAATACTAGTTATTGGCCTGCGCTCGAGGTCCATGTCATGCTATCGTCCTGCCGTAATTAGTTAGATGCGAGGTTTTCCTCGCACCGCTGAGTCCGAGATGCCAATTTCCAATTTGCTCGCTTGCTGTGTGCAACACAAGGCGCACCAGAGTAGGTTCTTACTGCCCTCTCTTGATAAGAAACTACCCTCTTGATCGTAATAACCGTGTTATGACATTCCCGAGTGCTGCTTAGCCTTGAGGTGGTGAACCCTGTGTCATTCCACCATCATCATAGTGAGTTCTTGAAACCATTTGAACAGAGCCAAAAGCATTCAGGATGAGCTTTCTCTGTGCAGTACATATCATAGCAAGGATTGAGCCTTGCAGATACCTGTTGAGTATGGGCTCAATTCGTTTAGATCAAGCCCCAGTTCACGGGCCTTGCTTGGTGCCAAGTCTTCATAAGAACTTCCGTCGGCGTTGAACTCTCGTCTTTGCTATACCACGACAGAAATCAAAGGAGTGGTGCCTAGTCTTTCAAGACTACCTTATACATCAATCCTGGCCACGTGAATGCTATCATTCGTACACCATCGCCAAGCTTTGCCCTGGAGTTCCAGAGCTGTGTACTGCAACTTGATTACTTGGCAGATCCCACAGGATTGCGTTGGGCTTGGGAAGTTTTTGGATTTTCGGATTCAGTCTAGTGTTAGACCGTTGAGGGAGTATTTTTATAATGTTGAGATATACAGACGATCTGCGTGAGGCTTGCCTCGCCCGGTCTGTAGTTCAGTTTTTGTTATTCCGTTCCATTTCAACACAGCCATGCGGAGTGTGCTTTGTTACTTGAGGTAATGATCAAGTCTACAGAGTCAGCAGATTCTGTGCAACTCTGTCGTCAAGGGAATATCTGGGACCACATGAAATCTCGTATAGGTAGTCCGGATTTACTAGGGGCTTGGATAAGTATGCAAACTTTGTAAAACCGCTAAGCATGAGACATCAGCAAAACTTAGAATTTTCAATGCCTTAACGTGGTATGTCATGATTCCACCACGTTTACGCGAGGCCGATCTACAGGCAACTCGAAATTGTTAAACAGGACTGCGTGATTGTAGAGCGAGAATTGACGATCTGCATTAATCTTAGTTTTCGGAGACTTGTGCCCCAAGCTGAGACTAGTCCTTTTGTCCCAAGCCGCCGCTCGATGAAAAAGACCGCCAAACAATCAACTCTTCAGTACTGACATGAAGCTGTACGTAACACTTCCTCCGACATCAAGAAGGCTTACGGCTGCTCGTATTTGAGTTCTAAATCGTATGGTGATCATTTTTCCCGTTTGACTTCGCTTAGGCACGTCTGATCTTACAGCGTATGCACGTAATATGTTTCTCAGGATACGAGGTAGATCGCGCCCCAGCGATGTAAGTAAGCCTTGGCCAGCGCCCGTCTGCAAGACTTTCTTCCGAGGGATTTTCTTGCGATAACTTTTGTAGGCAGATTTCTAGTCGAATGGGCTGTTGTAAGGTTGTCATTCTACTAGTGGGCGAGAACCTGGTAACACACAGCTGGCATCCATCTGCGGAGTACCTATAAACAAAAGACTGAGATGACATTGTATTATCACACCACCTTAGAACGAGGGTTCAAGTAAGACTGAAGGTGAAAGAAAATTAATATAAATGGGACGAGGTTTTGGATGGCAAGTCAAATCACTCTGTAAACCAAACACCCACGAAAGCTTTGTAAATCTGCTACTCTTATGCCAATATAGGAACTCGTATTTTCACATTTGACTAAAGACAATTACTTATACAATGATCATCCAAACCATCTTCAAGACAACTACTCTTGCTGTTGCCGCAACAGCAGCAACCATCTCTGCTAAAAGCAACGATGACACCAACGGGTTCCGTCTATGGGCCAACATGCTCTACCCTGATACACCAGGCAACGGCCCGATCGTTCAGGGCTTCGAGCTCGGCTACGTCTCTGGTGACGAATGCCAGGCCACCGTGATCCTGGTACCCGCGAGTCAAGGATCTACATTCTATGCCAGTAACAACACCATTGGCGTTTGCTTCGACAACGACTCGCCCTCTTTTGCAGGCATGGTGGTGCCATGGCGCGGGCCTGCGATGGTTCCGAGCGGAAGACCTGTGGAACTCAAGTGCGAGGACAGTACACCAGGTCTGACTCTGAACGACAACGGCGTGTACTATCCCGGGGAAATGGGTCCGGACTTCAATGGCGCATTCATGGTGTGTGAAGATGGAGGTGGCCCGTTCTTGAGCTTCTATGGCTGGGGTCAGAGGCCTCTTTGGGGTTGCACCGTAATTCAGCTTCTTCCCACCTACTAAAGCCAAAGGGCAAACCAATTTTCATATTATAATCAGAAGAAAATCCATCGAACTTGAGGCTTTTTCGTACAGCCATGACCGCTACGGTCTTCGCATCGGGGTCTTCTAACCGTGCTGTATGCTCAAATGGGGCCCCAAAAAGATTTCACGTGTGAACAAATAAATAGCATCATGTCACTGCAAACATCATTCCAAAAAGTTGGCATTGGACAAGACCTAACTCTGCTCAAGAGAAGCTCCAGGGGATACAGGGCTCGACTTGGGGGTTCCATACGTTTCCAGGCTCTCGTCCAGCGTTTGCTTTGAGCAATGCTTAAGTTGCGCCATGCTGCAGCACGTCACTATATCTAGGCCATTTCCACCACCTCCATTTGCACCACCCAAGCTATCATGTGTGTCATTAGACCTTGGGCAATTTCAGTGGACATAAGTCGAATCCAAGTGTCATTTTGACCATGTCCCCTGTCGTAAACACTGATCGTTTCATCTATCTTGACCCAACAAAATCATCAGTGCAATCATTTGGGAAAGGAGAAATTGAGTTAGCTTCTTGCGTTCGATCGGAACAATTGCACAGTCCAAGGCACTCTTGTTGAGATGACATGTAATACTCTGTTGGAAGTTAGTCAAAAGATAGGAGGCAACCAAGCAGACAAGAAGCATGCAGGATATAGGCCAAGATCCCAGATGGAGAGAGATTCTACAGTTGGCCATAGTGCACCTAACTGGAATCTAGCGACCTCGTCTCCATTACGCTCTAGGCAGCACTGAGCTATTTTGCCCGTTTCCGGCACGTCAGGACCGGCACGAAGCCTGACGCGACTCAAGGCCTGCCCACCTCAATTGAGAGCCATAACATATCAACTGAAAACTACGCAGAAAACATCCTGGGTGAGTTCGGAGTAGTTTCACTAACTTTTTGGCAATCAATTTACCTTCTCGCCCCCCTTACCACTGATCCATGCGCTCTGCCCGCCACAGAACAGTCTCAGCAATGGTAATCACAGCGACTCACCGCCAACACCCCGAGACATCATCTTATGCCGCTTCCGGCTACGGCAATCGCATGCGCTGGGGCTCAAGGCCCGCACTGCTCCTTGTCGATATCTGCAAGGCCTACTGGACCACTGGCTCGCCCCTCGATCTCTCCGCCAACCCCTCTGCCATTGCGGCCCCTGGGAGTGCAGCACAGCTAGTAGCCGCAGCAGGAGAGGGCGGTGTACCCATCATAGGGACGGCCGTCGAATACACGGATCCCAAAATGGCGGATGCGGGCCTGTTTTGGCTCAAAGCCAAGACCCTGGCCGTGTGGCAGGCCGGGAGTGACCTCCACTCGCAAGGCTGGCGGGCTGGGTGAATGAAGACCTGACTCCGAAAAATGGTGATGTCGTGGTGAAGAAAAAGTACGCGAGCAACTTCTTTGGCACGACCCTGGCGACAGAGTTGACGTGTAGGAACGTCGATACTGTGGTTATTTGTGGCGTTAGCACGAGCGGATGTGCGAGAGCGACGACCTTGAATTCTATGCAGCATGGTCTCCGACCTATGGTGAGTAGTGACGCATCATTTGACTGTGGTCATCGAAAACTAATATGATGCTGGCGTTGCAGGTTGCTGGCGAAGCGTGCGGTGATCGCAGCGAGGAGATTCAAAATGCCAATCTGTTCGATCTTGACTCCAAGTATGCTGATGTGGTGTCTATGAAAGACGCGATATCACATTTGAAGTCTGGTTGGGCAGTAGCATAACATGGTTGGTTATTTGATCGTGTGTGGTGCCGTTCCTGGTATGGAGGCATAAATGTCAAAACTCATATCCTTTCCTCAGTCGTCCACAGACTTCATGTCTCGCCTCATTCTCCACTTGGGACCAACCTTCATCTCAATGTACATGAGGGGAAGAAGAAGAGCACAAACTCCGCCAAGTAGAACGTAACTCCAGCTGATGCGCAAGGCGGCGGTCATCCTGTCAATGAGACCCACCAAGAGGGCTGCCAGCAAGCATCGCACGAGGTTTGTCTGCGGCTAGTATTAACATTTCGAAATTCTGGCATAGTTTTAACGAGCCATTAACTCACACATGCTGTCGCTGCCGAGCTTCTCGTTTGTAGGATGTCGATCATGAGAGTCATGGTCGTGTTGAGAATAGCAATTGACGTATATCCCACTAGAAGTGATCAGTTGTGAAATCGCGACTTAACTAATAGACATATAGCTTATGTGGTCAACTTACAGACGATCTGAAGGACGAGAGGGACAGCGATATGAACCCCTCGATCGACACAAAAGCCCCATGCTATCACAGCTCCGGAGAAAAGCACTAGCAACGCCGGCATGGTCCTCAGACGTGCATACTCCTTAGGGAACATAATAGCGCCGTCAGATTCCTCGACCGTCTTCTTAATACGAGCATAGTCCCAATCGAGAAACTTGCCGGTAAGGGTGCTGCCAACGATCATGCCAAATCCTGTAGGTAAGTAGCATAGCCCGAGTGCGGTTTCGGATAGCCAAGGGTAGACTTTGGCAAAGGAAGAGGCGACCGTCGTCACGACAGTGTTGTTGACTGCATAAACGACGCCCGTGAAGGTTAGGGTTATGGCGACATCGGGATATACGAGGATAACGAAAGGGTTGATTGACCGCCGGACACCAGACTTGTTGCGCTGGGTCTTGTTCTTCCTTCGAGATCTACCTACGATGGGCAACAGAGGGGTGTAAATCCCGCCAAGAGAGATACTCCCGTTGCCAACGAGGTTTCGAAGAGTCTCTGGAAGGAACCTATGGAGATGGGCAGTCATTAGGATACGACTTTGAGCAAGGGAGAAGATGGGCTGGCCTGGCTTGTCAAGCGGAACTTACAACAGGATGAATAGAAGGCAGCAAACAGCCATAATGACTTGGAACCAGAAGATTGAACGCCATCCAAGTTTATCGGAAAGAGCACCACCAATTGCGGGAGCGATGCAGGGTGAGAGCTACTAGTGTTAGCTATATGAGGGAGGATTGTTGACAAGGCAATGGTAGCTAGACGTACCATGGGTCCGAGGTTGAACGTGCCAAAGAACCCTCCTCTCTCTTCAGGAGTCGAAATATCGCCAATGACACCCGCTCCTATTCCCCAACAGGTCAGGATCAAGTATCGATGGTTCGAGGAAAAGGATGACTGACCGAGGGCAATTGTGCTAGCGCAGCCTGCAGCCTGTAGACAGCGGAGGACAATTAAGAGCCAGAAAGCGTCCGTAGGAATCACGGCTATTCCTATACACGCTCCGATCAAGATGGTCAGGCAGACTAAAAACACTGGTCGCCTTCCGTAACGGTCGGAGAGAGGTCCCCATAGCATCGGCGCTGTTCATTCACACGTATTAGGGGAGAGGCGTCTGAGACACTGGATAGGAGATGAGATGGAGGGTGGGGGGTGAACTGTGCTATGGAGCGCATAACTTACAGACACCTTGGGTCGCAAGGAAGGCTGTGACTGTCAAGTTGAGGAGCTCGACGGACTTGCCAAATGCTTCCGATAGTTTAGGGATCGCAGGTAAGTAAATGTTTGCCGGCAGCGGACTAAGCCGCAATGTTAGAGTATGATGTGCGATGAGGGGGATGACGATAGGTAATTTACCTATAGAAACCCGCGACAGCGACCATCGCGACGATGAACCACTTCTCTTTGCGAGTGAATATGCTGTAGGGCTCCGCAGGTGCGTTCTCCCCCAGTGGAAGCACGAGATTCTCCTGTCCGGTCCGAGAACTCGGAGCAGGCACAGCGCCGGTCCCGGGATCGGGGCCATCGGTTTTAGGTTCAACCATCGTGGGGCGCAACTCGGAGGCCGGGAATCGGGGAAGTGGATGCCGTGATGGAACCTTCCGGACGGTCAAATGGACTTGTGAATTCCTTGGCGGAGGGAAAAATGAGAACAGGAGCAAGAAATGCCCCTTTGCGGTTCTCCGGCTGGCGAAATACCCATACTCCTCGGCCTACGAAAAATCTTGACCGAAGACATTTTGGACCCCACGTAGACCCAGAAATCGGCCAAAAGATTTCGGCGCCGGTTTCGGAAGAGGCGAACAGCGGCGGGTCGGCGGCGGCACGTCCATCCGAGAAGAGGGATGGGCCAGTCCCGTTTCTTAGGCTATGAGCGATTCGCATTAGATAGCCTATCGTCATTGACACAATCCTTCGCTAGACTTGCACAGCTTGCTAGGTAAGCGGACTGGCACATTGTGGATCTGTGTGGAATCGGCTCGTGGGGATTTTGGGCCGGTTTGCAGTGATGTACCCGGCGCATATCCGGGGTGCCAAGTTCAAGTTTAGTGACAGGCTATCATGGACCAGTGGCTACCAGGAAGTCCGATGTATCGGAGGCCAAGACTTGAACGTCCGGCAACCTCTTTTGCCCGTTTCTTATCTTGACAAGAGATGCGGCTGCGAAGGGGTGCGGTCGGCGACCTCTTGGCAACCAGGTTTAACTTGCACACACCTTAGCAAAGAGAAATCTCCAGTCACGCCTGTCAACCTGTTCAAACATACGACGCTCCTGTTGTCAGTCACCCAAACCTCCGGGGCCATTGCCACGGTCAATAATTGAGAGACTCGATTTTCATGGATTACCGAAGGAGCAGGTTTGACCATGTCCGAGAGTGACCATTGACCATGTCAAATTGCCTCCAATTACTTGAAAGACCTGGTCCTAGGTGGACGATGAAGCATTTTAACCTCCACCGTGATCAGAAGTGGATTTGTTTCCTCGACCTCCGCCAATCCGCCAGTCTAAGGTCTTGCGCAGCAATCTCGCCGTAATAGGAGAAGTCTGCAGCAAATAGAGGCATGATTGAGCGTCTTAAGCAGAACGGACTCTATGAACCAAGTTCTCCGGAAACAGCCTCCAGCAAAATCGGGAAGAACGATGTGGAAAGGGAACGCTCAATGAGGCAAATGTAACTACGGATTGTCAAGGCCAAACGTACTCTTCCGGCACGAGTTCCACGGAGCCAAAGTACGACGACCACCGCAACGTCCCGGTGGTCATAGAGGCGCTGGCTCTAGTTGATACTCATTTCCGAGCCATGCCCTCTTGAGTAATTTGAGGATTGTAAAAGTAAACGTATCAGAAGGCGAATGAAGGGTCATGAATGAACAATCCGTATAGTAGTATGTTATGAGGAGGTGGACTGTGACGGAAGGTTTGATTATTTTGATAACGCGTATAGAGTTATCATTCACGGCCTGGATAACGGTTACGAATTTGAGATTAAGTCTGATCACAACTTCTGGATAGGAGCAACAGATTCACTCATGGCACCATGATCCTACGCACGATGGAGCTTACGTGACGAGGTTGTGAAATGCAGCTCCGGCTCATGATTGTAACTCATAACTGAAGTTACCGCGTTATCCACGAGTATTAGTAGCACAAGTACACGATTTGAAGCAACGCCATCTATTTACGCCACTGCTCATTCTTCGCCAGTCCTATGGTGACATGGTGCGCTGACTGGATGCCTAATCCACATACACTCGTCTTTTTTCTCAGACTCTCCGTTGCCAGTCTCGTAGACACTGCCCTTGCCGTAGCCCGAAGTATGCTGAATTGAGCTAGACTCGTAAGCCACACATGGCCAGTATCACATCCCCTGTCTCCTCCTCAGTGTTCACGTCCCCGACATATCCCATCTTGCCGTCGCCTACTTGCGCGAAAGAGATCGCGGCCTGTGTCAAATCTGCAACTTCCTCGGCGGAGAAGACATGTGACTGAGTGACTGAGGTCTCGTTTGGGCCGTATAGGACCGCAGTCGGATGCACCCCCTTCAGAAATAATGCCTTCTGGCTGTACCGGGTCGGAAGTCTCTCTGCAGCGCTACCGGCTGCCTGTGGGTTGAGCGTGACCGTGGTTCTGTGGTAGTCGCCCCTTGCCCAGTCTAATCCTGCTTTTGCGAAGAAGGGCTTGATGTTGTCGGGCTTGACAAAACTGCTGAAATGACCCATGACAATGGCTGTGCCGCCCTGGCGGACATAGGCGATGACGGCGTTCCATACGTCAGGAAACGCCTCGGTGAGAGCCGAATCCGTAATGAGCACGGCGGCCGGGGGCGGGTTCTGTTGCAAGCGGTTGAGGGCGGCAGCCGGCTTTTTGGTTCGTTGCATCGATGCCTTCTCCAGGAGTCGACTGAGCAGGCCAGCGTACATCTCGTCAAAAAAGGGCTGGTAGTCTAACGAGATGACAACGAGTTGAGGCTTAGACTCCAATGAGGTGCTCATGGTGGCTACGTGAAGGCGAATGCGTTTGTTGTTGAGGCCTTCATCAAGAGATTGGATTAGGAGGTGGTGAATATTAATCACGTCGCTGCCCGATCACCTAGGGGCTTGTGGGTCCATTTATACGATGCCCTCGCGGTTGATTGGCCGTATTCTGTGTCGTCGCTGCTTGCTTTGTCCAGGCCATTTGATTGCCTCGTAGTGACATGAAGACCCCTCCAATATCACGTGAGGTGAGTTGTTCTGGCCGTATCGGTTGGCGAGGAAGTGCTGATTCCCCGTAGCAATGCTGGGGCCATGCATCAACTGTGATCCCGTGCGGGAGAGGCTTTTGGCCAGGGAGTAAGTTGTGCGGCTTGCTATACGGAGCCGTTGGGCCGCCGGGGACACAAGTCGCTAAGAATCTATAACTAAAAGTTATAACCATTTCACAAAGCAGTCTACTTCCATGGTTCTTGATTCCCTTCAGACGTGCAACCCATCGTCTCCTCGCCTACAAACTCATTTCTGGCTGCGCAGCAGCGTATCTGGCAATACCAAATGTATCTTATTTGCATCGTGTCGAAATTCTGTTCCCGAAGGCCACTAGCTGGGCAGCTTACTGAGGCGTACATGCAGTGCGTAGCGCCAGAAGTTATTGAATTTTTGGGTCAGTTGGTCGGCGCGTGGCACACCTCCTTCTTCCTTGCAAAAGTAGCAAGAGGGGGAGGAGTCGTTAGGAGAGTAGAAATCAATTGAACATATATTAGTGAACCGCTATTGACGCATGGAGAAGCTTGGGTTTGTGGACTAGGGAACCTCAAATCCAACGGCTAATTTGCTCACCTTGACTCCTGCAATAGAACGTGCTTCTCTAGGAATGCCGCGCGTCGGGAGCATCGAGCAAACAAAGTGATATTCAGGGCGGCGTCATCCTTCCCTACGACCCTGAAGCAAGACCGCAGCCGTCACAACACACCTTCTTTGTTAGCAAAAGTTCCATCAAAGAAAATCTTCTTCTCAAAGTGTTGTATTCTCGTTGAGCCATTTTCAGGATCATCGATGCCGGCCGAATAAGAATGCATGTAAACAGACGAGATGACGATTATACATGGTCGGTGGTGCTGCAGCAGCCTATGCAAGAAGGAAGCAAACAACACGTTTTCGGCGGCAGGCCGTCTCGCACGGGATTGCTCATGTTGGAACAACGCCCGAGATGGGGCCCTGTAGAGAGATCTCGCACCAACCAACTGGGACGGAACTCATTCGGAGATCCCATACCATGCCCTTCGTCGTCTTCTTTCTCCATACTGCGGAAGTGGCGGGAGCACGATCCGGGAGAAAACGTTGGGACGACTATAAGGAGAAGGAGAAAAGAAAGGGCATTTTTTGCTATTCGCCGCATACTGTACGCAGGACATGGCGCCCCGAGGCCACGGAAATGAAACCTCATCGCCACTCGATCTGTGTCACCTACTCGACCGAAGGAGGTTGCATGGGATGAGACTTAGGTTGATGTAGGGAGGGATACAGGAGGAAAAAATGCACGTTCTTGCTTCTTGCTCGAAAGCAGGCGAGAAACGCGAGAGTATTGGACCAATAGCTGGCCGGTGCTGGCCCCAGTACCAGTTTACGCTCACTCTCACTCTCATCTTCATTTTCACTCTTACTCTCACCTTCACTTCCATTGTCACTGTCATCCTCCCTCCACCCGTCTTACTTTCTGTATCCGCATCATCGGTGACAAATCGCGGGTGTCCCTCAGCAATGACTGACCAGCAAACAACAATCCGAGCCGGTTGCAATTGAGGCATGTTACAGCCCAGAGTCTGGTTTCTTTGAACCCTCATTCTAAGCACAAGTTATCGCTGCCTCCTCTTTCCCCTTCGATCGTGATGTCGGGAGTCGTTTGCAAGGGTTGCACGCCAGGCCGCCAGCCACTGGAGCGGGAACGGCGTGAGAGGCGATCTTATCCCAGAACCAAGTCCAGGGGAACACGGAACCAAACCAGGACGTCGTGAAACCACGGCATCGTCCCATCCAGACGGCATTGTAGTCTGTAGTGATTCTATCGAGTTGAGGCGCTGTCGCCACACCACACCCGGAGGACGGTCTTAGAACTTTCTAGCTCCCCTCCCAGTGGCGGCCGTTCAAATAGGGTTTCGCCTCGTTCAGAATGTTATCTGGATGTGATTGGACTATTTCTTACCCGGATGGGCGTTCGTCCTGTGGTCACGCAGATGGCTTATGCGGGTTGAGAGAGGTGTTGTCGGGTATCGCCCGCACCAGCGAGTGTTGTTGGGACTGAATAATCCGGCCGGATTATTGCCAAGATAACCGGGAGCGTCGATGCTTAGACCTCTTCTTAGGCTTGGCCTCGTGAGCCTTTGGGGTCCATCGAGCATTTCATAGGAGCCCTACGTACGTAGAACTTGCAAATTGTTGACGACCAATCCAAAGCTCCCAGATCGAGCGTCACTTTTTCACTGGTTGATGCAAAGGAGAGATGTGGAAAAGAGAAACGTGGGAACTCCGCCTTCTCCGGAGTGGATGCTCGGTGGTGCTATGATTTCAGTCTGGGATGGGCTGATGTTGACCAGGAAATCCGGGGAAGAGGAACCTTGACACATTACGATCTAGATTTTCCCTTCCCCGCCAAGGAACAAGACCAACGAAAAAACGCGCATTGCTTGATTTGGGAGCCCGTACGGATAATTAGACTGCGGTGCAGGTTAGCTCACGCCTCAACCTCAAGCTTGCCCCCCGCTGGCGACGCCGCCAGCTCGAGGGCCACAGTTCGTGTCAAAGTCGGTCTCGATGGCGGCAAAGCTTATCTTGTCGACCGCTTCCCCAGCCGTCTTGCTCGCAGTGCCCTGGGCGGGGGCTGCTCCTAGGACATCCGACACGGACTGGGAAACGGGCGCGTCAGTTGCCAAGACCACGCTGTTCTCCTCTTTTGCCATGAGCTTTCGGTGAGAGAAGGAACTTGTGGCTTGCACATCTCATGACGGCGCACCTGTCTAGTGAAAATCTGCCTTTATCCATTGGCTTCCGTCGGTATGGAGACCTCGTGTTGCTCAACTCTGGTCAGCAAGCTCATTGCTCATAAGACCGTCGAATAGCTAGCTCGGGCGCCCGCCAAGCACCAACCAACGCCCACGGTGTGATACCCGGTCTCGGCTTCACTGGAGCGGAGAATGAGAATAGCGGGAAGAAGCCCGGTGTAGCCCCCCATCATCCATGTCGCTGATGAGAATGAAGACAGGCTGGACTGGGCATAATCCACCCCAATGGAACCAGAATTGATCGCACATGACAGAGAGACAGAAGTCAAAAGCACGCGATGCCCCATTGGCCTTTTCTCTAGCAAGATCTTGGCAGACCAGGAAACAGGACTTCCCACAGAGCCCAGAGGTTCAGAGGATCACAGACGTCGGTAAGAATTCCCCTAGTTTGGCAAAGAGCCGTAATTTGATTAGCCCGCCCCCACTGCCGGGCCCCTCCCCAAGACTTTCCAAGACCTCGACCCTCTACTGAAAAGGATCCTTAGACTAATCGGAGCTCTCTCGTCAAACTCCACGAATCTCTCTGTGCGGGGAAAATGCCTAGGAACAGGATTGTGGGGGATGGATGGAGAGAGAGGAGGGGCACGGCATGGGGGTTTTGTGAGAAGGCTGGTTCCCTGTCTCTGGCCAAGTATCTCGCTCAATGTCCGAACTTTTTCTGCTTCTTATGCTTATTTCGTCTGGGGGCCTCCACGAATGTCGGTGGATGGGTGGAGAGACTCGTGAGGGGAAGATGGAGCCACGATGATGACAAAAGGATGATGGCGGCACCGAAGAGAGAGAGATGATGTCGGGGAAGAACTCCGTCGAAAAGTGTTCATGTTCTTCATGATGCCCACCAGCACCTCCACCAGCCTCCAGGTTCCCTCCAGGTTCCCCAACCTCTTCCCCGTTTTCTCCCCCGCGCCATGATGTGAACGCCCATCACCACGAGAAGAAGCTTGTGAAAAACTTGGGGGAGGACGGCTCGAACTTAATGCAGCACCTGTCCTGAAGGACTCACATACTTCGGAGACAAGGAAGCTAACGGGAAGAATCGAACATTCCATGCATTCAGCTTGACCTTCTTGTCCCTCCAGCGTTTTTGTTGGTTTTCGTGAACGTCCAGCATTCCTCAGCTTGCAGGGTACAGCCTTTTCGCAAGTAGCACAAGCAAATCCCTTGGATCACACGTTGGGACGTGCAGTAAATGTGCCGCCAGCAAAGAGCAATGGCCTCATTCCAATAGGCCGATTTGCAATATCCTTAGGGCACACTGCCCGTCGTGTTTGCGTCTGGTGCCAGCACAAACGCAGGCGTCTCGGGTTGGGCAGAAAAAAGTTGAGGGCTGCGCTCGACGAGTCATGGATATTGCTCAAACGGCCTGGGCATCATTGACTCCAGTTCTCTCTTCTCTATCACTTCCCATCGTCGTATTGGAAACGGACCATTCACCTGTCTGGCTTATTCTTGCAGATGCTGCTTCGTGCTCTCTTCCCCCCATAAACCATTTCGAGACCCCTATCCTCTGTTCTGCCCACAGCCTGCCTTCCTGACTAGCCCCAGACTGACCAGTCTGCGGACCAATCGCTAGCAACAAACTGCTCCAGGGTTGGCTCATGAGAAGTGCCAAGAGCTCTGGGCATACATTAGCGGGGGCAAGTCATCGGTCGTACGGACGAGGAAGTTGTACAACTTTTGCTGAATGCGAGTCGAGGAGTCGAGACGTCGGAGACACAAGCAACAAGTCCAAAGTCCTAACCCTGAGCCAGAGCTTGAGCCAGCCACACGCATCCCCAGCCCGGAACACCCCTGTCGTTTTGTTCGTCTCGAGATGCAATCCAGCTGCGAGGAGGACCACGGCCAGCAACCTGCATGCTGCATGGCTAAGTAGTACGTACCGGAAGCCAAAACCCTGCAAACCCTGCCCGCAGCTACGGATGAAGCACTCCTCCTCCCATGCTCCCAGAGCTACCAGACCTAGATCCAGTCTAAGTCAACGTCGTGGGCGGCACGGGGACGAAGCTATGACTGGCAGAACAGTGTTCCCGGTACCGAATCTGAAGTACTCCCGTCCCCCTCCCGTCGGAAGCCCGCACGGTGATGGCTGTTTACACAGTACTTCCGAAGAGAGGGGGGCCCTCCACCGAAACCATTCAGATGAGAAGCCAATTTCGTCCTTCCCATTGGGGTATGTGATGTATAGAGTGTGAGTGTGAGTGTGAGTGGATCGGGGGTAGCACTCGGCGGCCACGGAGGGTCCCGGGCATGGCAGGATCGTCTTTGAATATGAGAGGGAGACGACACGGCTGCCTACATCCCATGTTGTCGTCGAATTCATAAGAAGCAGCGCTCAAAGTTTCATCCCACATTGGCTTCGGATCTACCCCTCAAACTCATCCAGGTTGTTTTGGGACGCATCTTCTCTCTCTCTGAGGGTTTCTCTCTTACAATTAACATTCCCATCTCTCCTCTCAACGCTTCCCGTCTCCCGCGTTCCACCACATCTCGACTCTTGCTCAACCTCTTCCCTCGCCCGCTCTCATCCTGAACTTCTGTTACCAGTGAATACACCTGAATAACCCGACCAATTGAGCGAACGACGCACCAAAATTAGTGCGCCTGCCTTTCTGACGGCTGCTACCTCTCTTGATTGACGTTTCTTTTTCATTTATTCATCTCTGATAGGGAAGAGGGAAGCAAACCTTTCTGCAGGATCCCACAAGCAAACCTCGGTAGAACAACACGCCTTGTTTCAACGCGCGCGCGCATACGCAAATCCCTTCGCACATCGAAAACCTTGCCCGCTACCAACGATCATCGTTCCAATACCGTAGCCATGGATCGCAACGGAAAGAACGACCACGAGCTCGCCGAGAGCTCGGATGAGAAGCCCATCGACTCCCAGCTCGAGCAGGCGCAGATGCTCGCCGATCTGCCCGATCCCGACGCCGGAAAGTCTGCTGAGGAGCGTGCCGCCATCGTACGTGTGCTCTCTCCCCCGTTGATGCGTGATGACATCGTGAGGTCTTTACTCACTCGTCAATTCAAACGACGAAGAGATGAGCCGGGGTGTGCTAACGTTTTCTCTCGAACCTTAGGACAAGAAGCTCATGTGGAAGGTCGACCTTTGGCTGGTCCCCTGTTTATCCCTCCTTGTAAGACATGATGTTCCCTCTCGCTCACCTCCCTCCGAGGATTCCAGCGCATGAGCGGCTGCGCGCGCACAACATGGTTGACGGCATACTGATTTCATATTTCTACATAGTACCTACTCTCTTTCCTCGACCGAACCAACATTGGCAATGCGCGTCTCGCCGGCATGGAGGATGACCTCAAAATGAGCGGCACCGACTACAACATGTCACTCACCATCTTCTTCATCAGCTACGCCGTCTTCGAGCCCGCCACCAACGCCCTGCTCAAGCGCCTCACGCCCCGCATCTTCTTCACCGGAATCATCATCGTCTGGGGCATGATCATGACCCTCATGGGTCTGTGCACCAACTTCTCCGGTCTCCTTGCGGCTCGCTGGTTCCTCGGCATCGCTGAGGCTGGTCTCTTCCCTGGTAAGCCCACAACCTCTTCATGGGTTCATAGACACCTATCGTAGTGAGGTTCCAGAGGCTAACGTGAGACTCTAGGTGTTAATTACTACCTTTCCTGCTGGTACAAGGGATCCGAAATCGGTGTCCGCTCCGCCGTCTTCTTCTCCGCCGCCGCCCTCGCCGGCTCCTTCGGTGGTCTCCTCGCTGCAGCCATCGCCAAGATGGAAGGCATCGGCGGTAAGCCCGGCTGGGCCTGGATCTTCATCATCGAGGGTCTGGCCACCGTCTTCGTCGGCATTTTCTGTTGGTGGATGGTCTTCGACTGGCCCGAGAACGCCCGCTTCCTGACCCCCGACGAGCGCATCCGCGTCCAGCGCCGCCTCATCGCCGACAAGCAGGGCCGCACTGCCGAAGACTTTGACAAGCGCCATATCTATGCTGCTATGTCGGACTGGAAGACGTATGGCTACATGGTAATCTACATGGGCTGCCTCGTACCCCTCTACGCCTTCTCCCTCTTCCTACCTACAATTCTCCGCGGCATGGGCCATCAAGGCACCAAGGCCCAACTGCTTTCCGTCCCGCCTTACGCTGTTGCTGCTGCTCTCACCGTCACTGTCGGTGTCATTGCCGACAAGACCCGCTGGCGTGGATATTGCAATGTCGCGACTGTCACTATTGGTATCGTCGGTTTCGTCATGCTCATCTCCACGACCAACCCGCAGATCCAGTACGCCGGAACCTTCCTCGGCGCCGCTGGTATCTACCCTACCATCTCAAATACCCTCTCCTGGGTCATCAACAACACCGAGGGCTCTCTCAAGCGTGCCTTCGTCCTTGGGATGGTTGTTGGATGGGGTAACCTCAACGGTGTCGTCTCCTCAAATATCTACATCAAGACCGAGTCTCCTCGTTACCTGACCGGTCATGGGGTTGTCTTGGGCTACCAGATTCTCTTCCTCCTCGGCGGATCCATATTTATGCACTTTGCTCTTAGAGTCTCCAACAGCCGCCGCAGAGCCGGCAAGATGGACGCCCAGTGGGCTGGCATGACTGATGAGCAGAGATGGGTTGCCGGGGACAAGCGCCCCGACTTCATGTACACACTCTAGGTGCTATACGGTGCTTTGGTTTGCTTTTCCAGCTATAGAAATTGGGTCAGAAGGCATGGGCTCTCCGTTAAAGGATTGAACAAACACGTATGGGTTATATAAGCTAGTGCCGTCAGAGCGCTTCTTTGTATATTCTTTGTCTTTTTGAAGTCAATGATACCATTTCCGCATTCCGCTTTGTCCTTTGCTCTCTTTCTCCCCCACTGACTATAAGGAGAATTACTTCCTTTTCCGCATACTACTCGGGGCACGGCCAGATGTATTAGGGATGCAGGACGCTCTCAGGTAGCGACAAAGGGAATATCATTAAAGTCTATGTAGTCCTTCAAGATCTCATTCTAGTATCTTACTAGTAGTTTCTGTAGAAATGGATTCTCTGGATCAAGAGCCGTCGCTGTCTGAGTCCAACTCAATGAGGGGCTTTGCAAAAGGCGACAGCCAATTTACGCCACTGGGCACTTCCACTTCATCTTCGTCCTGCTGTTGAGTGATGGCCATTCTTCGAGACACTTCGCTGGCCCACTCACGTTCAACGAGTGGTGTAAGCGCAACATACGTCCCTAATGGCGTCAAACCGATTCCGCAATGTAAATCCTCAAGTTCCCGGTCGGGCTGAACCAGAAATGTCATTCCTGATCTATCGAATGACGTTCTCAGTTCGACCTTCTGATGCGTTGGCCACAACACCTGACCTCCGTGAACCATATGTCTCTCGAGGATCAGGCACTCATACATGGGATTCTGTTCTGCAGGGAGAGTAAGCCTGAACTGCCATTTCCCTTCAGGAGGTATGAGTAGGTCAAGGAAGTCGTAGGTCACGCCGCAGTCCAGCCATGTTCGTCGTCGTGGGTGTGATTCTGTATCCCAAAAGGGATCGCATACTATCTTGAATCGGTTCGTGCCGTCTGTCTCGAAGGAATGGTATCTGGATCGCCTCCATCCTTCGCCCTGTGGTACAATTGTCAATGAGATGAAGGTAGGAGGAATTTTGACAGTTCGCATGGCCTACCGCGTTCGCTAAAACCACTTTTGCAAAGTGGTCCCATTCTTCATCGCCGCCACCGCCCCGGCCTCTCATCACTTGGATGCCAAAAGCAGCCCCATCTTTGATATACTCCTGAATCCTTTGATTTTTGGCTGTTGCCAGTGCTGCCCCTTTGGCAATATTGAATGATCTGGTAAAGGCCGAGGATTAGGACAACGATCCAGTGTCGGACTGATAGCAGTCTCTTCTGCCTGACGGAATGACGATCAACTTACTCGTATGGGGACTCCGACATTGAGATTTCGTCCAGGAAAATTGGACAGGGAAGCTTTGCGCTGTTGAAAACTGTCTGTACTGTAGCTTTCAAGCACTCTTTGACAAACTGGTTTTTCGCGCTCCCGCCGGATACAACAACACGACCACCGACACCAGTGCGAGACTTGATAAGCCGAGCTATCTCTCTAATACCCTGTTCTGCTTCCTGGAATGGCCCTTTGAGAGCTGCCCTGAAAATTTCAAAAGTCTTGAGAGCCGGGATATCGACGTGGAAATGCTGGGAATCAGAAGGATAATCTTTCGGCCTCCTTATAGTCAGATTCAAGGCCCATGAAGTCGCCCCTTCGCTGAAGGTATTGGCCATGAGCTGCCACCGAAATTCTTTCAGAATTGCATTTCGAAGCAGTTGCGTTACGTGGGCACTATCCAAATTGCCCTTATTCGATTTAGTGTGTTCAACACAGAACTCGCTGACGTCTGCTTCCCACATGGCTGTACCACCAACCTTTCCTGTTATCAACCAAGTTGTAAGTCTGCTAAAATTCGGCATTCCTTCTCAGAAACATGCCTTGCTTGATTTTTAAGCTTACCAAATGGTTCATCGACCCTGAAAAACGCCGTCTTGTCGTTGCTTCTTCTCACGAAGAAAATGCAGCCATTCTTGCCAAGCATGTTAATTAGCTGTACAAACCAAATGCAACTGGGAGACTCACCATGCTGTGTCCACCGAAATCAAGAAAGAGAACGTATTGACTCTCGTCGCTTCCAAGTATTCTGTCTGCGACGTCGCTATCCTGACAAACATAATGAGCGATTGCCTCGACTTCTGTGTGGAAATGGACACGATCGAATTGGAATGACCAGAAGGAAAGCAAATTGGACTTCTCCCTGACAAGTTCCGCGTACTTCTCGTGCTCTTCTAGAGTCCAGTGAGCAGGAACCGACAGGCCAAAGTCGACAATCTTTAAAGGCATGCTCTTCTTCTGGCACTCCGACTCCAGCCGTTGAAATACGGCTGTCAAAATTGCTGCAACACCCTCTTTCCCTCGGTCTTCGAAGTTAGGGTTGTTGATATTTCTCACTGCTTCTGCTCGGAGAGGGTTCTCTCCATCGATGCCTCTCCCATTGCCCAGGAAGAACTTGGCCGAGACCTGAGTAGTGGAGGGGCTAAGCTCATCGCCAGTGTAGACTCTTCCAGTCCCTGAAGTGTTGATGTAGCCGTTGAAGGCGCCTTTCTCGTATCGGCTACCGTCTTGGGTTGTCAATGCCTCTGGGTTGTATAATTCCTTCAGCCGCAAGTTGCTCAAGTAGCAGATCACCAATCGAACAGAAGTACTGCCCCAGTCCAACGCTACGATTCTTTTCCTTTCAGTCAGATGGCAAATGCTGAAGTCGAACGATAGTAGCGATTACTCACATTTCCTCACGTCTAGACATTGTAAGATTTCCGCACACGGACTTTCACTGCGATGTGAGTTTATTCCAGATCCCCATGGACAGAACGCAAGACAAGCATCCGTGGCCGAGGTAAGTACAAGAACTGGGAGGCCCCTACAAACATGAAAGTAGATCCTATGCCGCTCGGTTGGGAACCCAGCCATTTTTAAAAAAAACACAAACCTAGACTTAGACTGCAGTCCACCGAAACCCCCAAGGCAATCATTCCCACTTATTCACAGTGCGTCGGGATACATTTGCGATGACTCGGGTGCCTCTGCCCGTATGTTGATGGGGTTTAAAATACTCTGAGTGGGACTCCATACATATTCGCAGGGAACATACCTTATTCCTATTGAGTGGCTTTAAACGTAGGCTAGAAGAGGAAATCACACACCAAGCGGAAAATGTGCCCCAGAGTAAGACAGACAGCTTTTAGTGCAACTCGTTGCCGGCATCCTTGTGGTTAGGGAACGCATTATCCTGCTTGGGCTATATGAAATTGTGAATTCAAGAAAGTATCGGGCGTAACTCTCACCGCCCCGAAGTGGGTACATGGACTGGTGAGGTATCCTGTCTGCAGGCCCCGTGGCTCATCTCCTTCCATGTATTATTTACTCTATGTATGATACACTAGAATGGCACCTGAACTCTGTCCAACCACCAGATTGTGCTGCCGGCTGTCTGGGAGAGCTGTTACACAGTGTGCTGCCTTCAGGTAGGTACTTTCCCGGGTACCTTAGTCAAAAGAGCCTTCGAATACATGAAGCCGTCTGTTCCCAGCAGTGCAAACCCTGCACTCTTCCATCCCTTTAAAACTCTCGCCAAAGAAGTTTTTCTCCAAAACAAGCTCACATCATCACCGGAAGGTTGTCTCTGCCCCATCTTCCGAGATAACATCTCGACAGTATCCCCAATCATGTCAACCCTACTAAGTCAATCGAATTCAGAGGCCAGGCAGATAAGAGTCGAGTTGCAGCTGTTGAAGAATGAGATGAGAAAGCAGCTCCAACAAAGGCTGTATCATCTTGTGGAGGCTCATGAGAATGATAGGAAGGACATTCTTGCTCGTTTCTTGACTAAGGCTTCATTGACTTACTCTGGAAGCTTTGAGAAGCTCCGGGGCGACATCGAACATGACTTTGAATGTTACGTCGCTTTGATCCGATATAGTCAAGGCAATTCGAGTGGTCTTTCATTTACAAACAAAGCACCACCGCCGCCTTGGGATAACACGGAATTCGATTTTGCGCGTATGTTCAGCACAAAAAAACCGGAGGCATCGCATCAAGTGAGTCTATGTTTCGTGATGTATACTTTTGTGGGAGGAAACTGACATTTCTGACTCTGAATCTACAGGAAGCTGCTTCATCGAAAGAGGTTGTTCCCTATGGCAACGACTCAACCCTGAGTACCGAGCCATCAACCGAATTCTCAGACTCGCCAAGCACAAACCTCTCTTTACCTCCCATATCGCGTCGCGCTCGAGGACAGGAGCAAAGACACCAACGAGTTGTAGACAAGAGGCCGTTAGTTCGCAAGAAGAAGATACCGGCGCCGAGAAGCACTGTTATGAAGACAAGTGTAGCAACAAGAGCCTGCCAACAAAATCCCAGCATGGCCTTTTGCTATGACTTGGGCGGTGGCAGTGAATACTACATCTTGCACTGCCCAAATGTGTCCTCGGGCTGCAAGTTCTCGTTCTCGAGCCATCCCTTCGTCACCGGGCTAGCTTCCCAACATTTTAAGGAGTGCGGCATTGCTTTTCAGGACGACACAGACATCGTTCGTCGTTTTGCATACCGACGTAAGTATCCCCCAGGAAACGAGTTCTTTCTCGCTACCTAAATCCTTTGGACGAATAATGAGATGAACGCTGACATGCTAAGTCGAGCGACAAATGGGTCATGAGAAAAAGGTCTCCTCGGAATGGGTTGCTAAATATAATCGCAGGGTTGAGAGTCTTGCCACTCTGCAGACCATGGAAGATTGAAGAGCAGTACGGGATGCATTGGCCGCATGCTATTGATTTCTTGATAGCTTCGAGCTTTACATTCGTTTTCGGTAAAGCGGTATCAAATAAAAAGTCACAAACTTTCTGGAAGAAGTGCCTGCGTTAAGCTATCTAAGTAACACTGGCTATTTTAGACGAGCAGCTCCTCGGTTGGACAGGTGGCTCCGCTATCGGTTGCGTCTATCCCTCCCGCCATCAGATTTCTTTTCGTCGAGATCCCGAGTTCAATTTTCACTTTCCCCTATGTACACTCTCATAGATTCTTTTTGGTAACCGATGTAGGCGTTTTCTATCTTTGTAGGCTGAACCAGCGCTCATCAATCAAATAAGTTGATTAACAGAAGGTTTTAGGAAGGATGAAAGTTGAGGCTGGGTTTGTCTAACTGAGTATGCCTCGTTCTCGACAGCTATGCTGCTGGCTTTGTATTTGTAGTCATCTACCACCAATGCATAGTAACATGCAGAATGCCATGGGCAAATACACGGCTACGGTGGAAATGGCCGGGTAAGGTAGGGAACACAGCACAGTGCCGAGAGTACTCGGGAAGGACTTCTAAGTGACTTGCCTGTCATTGCAAGTCTAGCCTGTTCAGCCCCGCTTTTGGGGTGATAAATGGTGTTCTTGTTTTCTAAAATCTCTTTCAACAAAGTGTAGGGGACACAGGTAGATAATAAATTCGAGACGCACTATTTGATGTTAAATAGAAACTTATAGAACCTGGATCTGCGCCAGAGCACACTCGACAAGACGAAGAAGTGCCCACGGGGGCCTCGCGCTGCGCACAATAGGGTCGATACGGCGTTCCAAGAGCAGGCTTGATTATGACCTACCCAAGTTATGACCTGTTGAACCGACCGGCGATCCCATAGCTATCGAAAGGTCACGCTGCCAGTGGACAGGGGTTATATGTCATCTCTAGGTACGAGTACATGGTGATTCCTCACCATTCTTGCCCCCACCCTACGTATTGATATGAGTTCTAGACGCAACGAATGAAGTACCATCAAGCTCGGCCTCAACAAATTGATTATCTCCACGTCTAGGCGAATGCAGCACGGAAGTTTGAACTATGTTCTGGTCAGCCGCCGCGTGTCTTACTAGGTAGATACCCGGGGGGCGCAATTTAAAGGAAGGTGATTGCATATTGACCGTGCCAGAATCTGGTCCCATGATGAAGGGGATGGAAGATAACACAGAAACGTGGAAGCAGTCTTAAGTTTGTAAGTGAAACAGCTTAGCGTCAAGTTGATCGAGCATATGGTATGCAACTCATTGCCCCGATCACCATACATAAGCCAGTCAGGGGTCAGCCCGTAAAACTTGTCTCTTTGCTGTGTTGAGACTACCTCAACTTTTGTTATCGACGGCATCCGGCTTATACCGAGTCAAGTAAAGGCTGGAAAATACATATGTGTTCCATCATGTGCCAAAGCTTCAAATGCCCTGTGACCTTCGTCGATGGTGTCACAAAATCTTGTCCTAGGGACCAGGGATTGCTGCAACGGTGATGTTTCCAGATGGAGAGCCAACGCCCATTTACACAGATATGAGCTGTGTTGATGCCAAGGGTTTATTCGACATGGGCCATGCTTAATTACATGGGCCATATGACGCGAGTTCCGTAAGTAGCAGGATAGGCGAGAGATATTTGCTGGCCAAGTCAAGCCTAGCAAAGCAAAAGAAGAGGCAGCCAACTATAGGATCGAAATCCAGACCAGGCTGCTGCTGGTATCCATCCGGCTACCTTATATGCTTACGCCTACCTCCTTAGTCTCACAAGTACCTAGTTCTGCCCCCGTTCCAAATTAGGTGCTTGGCTACGTGTGTATCTTTATTCAGACATAACTACCATTTTCTTTTGGTCTCAGTTGAATCAGATTTACTCGGAGGGTTCATTGGAGGATGTTCCAGCCCCCACCTAACTTCAACTGCGGATGGTACCTACTTATTTGTCAACTCGAGGTTGGTCGAGGAGTCAGGCCCCAGCATTGTGATTGGTACAGAGTATGTTGCCGGTTTATTGGATGGGATCTCTGATACGATCCACTGCAAAGGTGGGGTGAAGAACTAATGTGGCATAGGTTGAAGTCCCGGTTGAATTCACGTCGGTTCTAGGCGCCACCACTGCAACTTGTGAACCACATTTGGAGATATTTTACCAGTACCCTTGGCGTTTTCCCTTTTACTTCCAATATATCAGTAGATATATTAATCTGCATCTACCTATCCCAATCTCCTCACCGACTCCGAGGGTATCATGGAATCTGGGATGGGTGTGATGACACGCTCTCCCTCGTTCTTGATCTCCCGGGCAATGGAACGGCTATCTTGTTAAATTCGGCGGGACCTGAGCCACCTTAAGGTACATGTAAGATAGCGACAGACCTTCGCCGATCCTGGGGGTACTGGTGCCTGCATTGCTGGCTACTCGTTGCTGTGCCTCGTTTCAGCAAGAGCTTCTAAGGAGAAGCAAAGAGTTTGCCTTCAAGGTATTAGTCGATTGATATTGCCTGCACGTAAGGTTCACTATGCTAAAAGTTCCTGCAGTCACACGAAATTTCCTCGTCTGTGAATCTTAAAGCAGTTCGAAAACTCCTGCACCTTTCCAAATTTTAGTGTAATTGGAACCATGAGATTTTCCTCGAAAGCCCTATCTCATTTAAAGACACACCAAGGAAATGATGCTTGAGGGAAAATAATTACAGCGGGATCCACTACTTCTTGGAGGTGGCTGAAATGGGATGGGTGGCCAAACAGAGTTTGCAGACTGCAAGGTATCAAAGCACTGGACCAGACCCTTAGACGAAGGACTAAGTATTATGGGGCTGGTATTCAATCGCCAAATTGCTCGTCAATGGTCCATGATATGCAAAGAAACCTGTGATGAACATCACTAAACCACCTTGCCTCACCGGTTCGGATTCAGGGTTACATTTTGTTGAAAACCAGGCCCTAGGCAAAAGCAAATCACGATGACTTTGAAGATAGGACCCTAACACAGAGACCATCGGGAGCAGTGGCTGGAAAGGGACTTCCCAAGCCTTTGGAAGTGCGATTACCAGCTGAAGCAACGCGATAGACGGGCACAATCTGTGCGCCAGTGAAACTGACCGCCTTTGTCATGGGTGTTCCATGTTAGACGAAGGCCTTAAAGGAAGTCGAAGACGTTCATGCCGGAGTGGTGATTGAGTGTTGTGACTCTCTGTGGTCACTAGCCAGCGGGGGTTGGTTTTGCAGGGAAATCGTATGGTCAGGCCAAGTCATCAACAGCGGTGAAGTTGACTGCGACGTGAGGCGGAATTAGGAATCTGTCACGAAACAGGAATGGTATCAGCACTTGTCAGGCACCTTGCCACATTCACTTAGTATATAAACTGCTCTCATGTGCTCATTCCAGATGGGTTACTTCAAGCCACTTTAACCCACTTCATATGCCCATTGCTGCGTGCCATAACTCGTGACAGAATCACTGGCCGGAGGTCTGCCATTTCTTCCCAGTGAAGTATGGAAGCAATGCTTTGCATATCATCTCATCGTCTCACGTCTTCCGTCACATCAGGAGTCTGCAGACTTCTTCATGAGACAAGGGTCTCGTTCGGCGCCTGTACCTAGTGCCTTTATCCTTGGTCTTTCATGTCCCCATTCCTCTCTTCTCTGGTGTGCTCACTTGTTTCCTTTGTCGTTTTGATCTAAGAGTGATTCCGTGTAACACTTTAATGTGATCAGAGTGACAGCAAGGGTCCAATTTGCACTGAGGAAAGAATTCAAGATTTTTCCATCTCCAGGGTGCCAAATACACAAATGGTGTATTCCCATCACCAACTCGAGCTCCCACTATTTTCCATTGACCCTATGACTGACTACTTGTTATAGGCAGAGAACTCTTCTATGAAATCCCTCTTGAGTTCCGTCTCTCGAATAAACATGAATCTAGATGACTACTTTACATTGATTCGGAGAGGACTGATGTCTGGTTCCTACAAATGATTTCGACCATATTTCTCAGAGTCCGCAACGAAGCCCTTTCCCCAGAAACGCTTGTCTACCACTAGACGCTCTGACGATGAATATGGCGTATCGTCTAAGATGTCAGACCGCACTAAAATAATGGGCTCATCCTCAAATTTGCTGTTTGCCACAGTTATTGCGTCTTCGACGACATCAGCAGAGGTCGGCTTGTCCGCCGACGTCTGATAATGAGACATCCGGGCCCTTTTGAGTTCTGGAAGATGGCCTGATGGTTTGAGCCTTTGAAGTTGGTCGGATGCCTCGCACCTGGCTGCAATGTTCTTGTCGTTCTGCGATGTCGTCCTCTTTCGCTTCCGACTGCTCACAGTCTCGCGTGGAATCGATGATTCGAGTATGGGCTCTCTCGGACATGCCATGATTTCCCCTGATTCTGTGACCAAGAGACCACAACCTTCATCATCTGCATCTGTCTTGATAAGACAGCAGCAGTAAGACGGGTCGTAGTAGAGTGGCAAATTTAGAGCTGGGGCCTGACGGTAGATCTTTTTTCCCGTGTGTCCCATGTAATCCCTTGCAACGACGAGACGTAAATCATCGCCTTCGGCTACAACTCGAAGTGTGAACTGCCAATAACCTTTAGGTGGTTGAGGAAGTTCGATGATATCGCAGCAAGATGAGAAGCTTAGATGCGATTTTCTCTTCTGTAGGAAAGGATCGCAGATAATCTTGACTCTAGCTTCGCCATTGCACCACCTTTTCCACGGACGCGATCTCAGCTGTGATTGCACAAGCTTTGTCAGTACATGTGTCAATCAGGCGCCCATGTTGTGAAATAGGGTTTAAGAGAAGAGATTGCTCACCGAGTCCAGGGAAACTTCGACCTCTTCTTCCCATGCATGTTTTGGTGCATAGCCCCCCCGCTGGAAGCCATACGCCGCCCCTTGCGCCATGGCTTTCCGTACAGACATTCTGTTTGCGGTTGCTATCGCTGCCCCCTTGGATATGTTCCATGAGCTAAGGTTCCAGCATTTGTTAGACATAAGATCATCAAGCTCAAATCAACTTCCGAGTGGAGGACTACTTACTCTTCCTTCCCGAGATTTTCATACAGGCAGCACGGATCTGGGATCCCGTGGCTTCTGCATTTCGTTTGTAGCCAGGCTTGCACAACGGAATTCTTCCCACTACCCCCGGACAGAATAATCTTCACCTGCGAGCCCAGGGACGCCGCTTCAGCTATCTTCTTCTCAGCGAGTAGTATAGGCTGTTTCAAAGCCTCCCAGAAAAAGCGCTCGGCGTGAGACTTTGGAATATCTACAGTGTACTTTTGCATATTGTTGCGAGTGTCGTCGGCGGTCAGACGCATCGGCTCGATTTCACCTGTCTCAAATCTCTTGATTTCCCGGTGGAACTGCTCAAGGAGCTTTGCGCGTTGACGTGGTGGCAACTCGGACTTTTGACTATTCGACACGTACCATCGGCAGAAACTCCTGACCTTCTGCTCCCATCGTTGGGTACCTCCAAACGCCGCTTCAGAATGACAGTCAGACGTTGCGCACATCAAGATAGCTTAAATCATCGAAACTTACAAAAGGTTTCACCGACTCTGTGGTAGCTCAGCTGGTCGTCGTCACTTTTCTGTACATGGAACATACATCCATTCTGCAGATGATCAGCTCTATGACGACATGTCTAAGCGAATTAAGTACTATGGAAAGCTCAGCATGGTGTAGCCCCCAAAGTCTAGAAAGACAAGAAGCATCGAAGTGAGTGGCGGTGGGATAATATCGATAATCATCTGTCGAGACCAAAACAACATGTGCGCCGATGCTAGGCTTTCAACATGGAAGTTGATTGCGACGTCCGGCTTGATAGACTCTGAGATCAAGGTTGAAACTGCAGGCATCACCCTTCGAAGGAGCTGCTCGTACCGTGTCCGCTCTTCGAGCCTCCAATGAGCAGGGTAAGACAGTCCGATCTCGTCGATGTAGAAGAGGCGGCCACGCAATTCCAGGCTTTGGCCTCTGCAAACCTTCTCAATCTCAGTGAAGACCGTCTCAACGATCTGCTCCATTCCACGATTAACTAGTGCCCATTTCATGTCTGCTTCCAAACCATTCAGCGAGGCATCAACCGTGTCGATTCCAGTCTCTGGGGACCGGGAAAAAAAGGGCTTCGATGGCACTGGGTCGCGATCTTCGTCGAGAGCCTCGCCTGTGTAGGGCTTCCCGACACCATCCAGATATAATGCTGAATTGAATGCGCCTTTCTGATAATGTTCGTCGTGGGCAGGCGTTGAACGAGAGTTCCAGATTGTATGCACCATGAGTGTGTCACGGGGCAAGATGCTAGCACGAATCGCGCTGCTTCCCCAGTCCAATCCTAAGATTCTGAAAAAGGGTCTCATTATTAGCAAATCATAGAAGCTTAGTGACATCTACATGGGATCCAAGACTCACGCAGCCTTTCGGTTGGGTCGGGGCATTGTTGGCGAACGGTCGGTGAAGGACAAATTGGGAACATGGGGACACGCTATGTGGTGACCTGGACGTGTCGAGGGGAGATAGTATTTGGTACTCTCGATGGTGTAAGGGATTGGGCATATATACAGAGGGTTCGCCTCATGTATTCACTGACGAAATGTTTGATATAAAGATGGAGTGGCGAGAAGGGGGGAACCTTACCCAAGTACTCGGGCGTAGAGAATTACATCGCACAGCCTCCCTAAGTACCTACCGGCCTCGTAGGTACACGCTTACAACATTTAGAACTATGCAGCTTATCAAAAATGATGATGGACGGGGATAGCCAAGGTACTGAGGGGTGTGCGCACAGCCAATATCAAGCACCTATCTATGTCATATCCACTGACGAAAGATAACAGCAATGTCAGGGTGGTGGAAGTCCAAAGTACTTGAAAATACCAAGTTTCTGATGCTAGCAGCCGTTGTTCACCCCTTTTACAAAGACAGACCCTTCCCCCCAAATGCAACACAAATGTACGAAGTATCCTTTTCCAAACAGTTTATCCACTCCCGTATTGTCGCTTTCCACGTCCTACAAGGATCGCAGCCATCTGAGACTCATGTATTCGTATGCCGAAGAATGCTTGTTGAGGCCGGAGGGCCCACCCGAGATGCGGGCTTCCCTAGTACGCCTACAGGTGGGGGGAACTCATTTCACAAAACTGCGTATGCGTCCTTGGCGCTTAATGAACTTTCACACCAGGGTGCGGTCTTTTTCACAGTGACCGCGCTCATTGCCTCCTGACGACGAGGTCCCCTCCTCCCCTTCTCAGCCGACTTCCCTCTCTTTATAGCCACAACTTGTCTTTCTTGAAGTGACAGCCCACAGTGGACTGCAGTCTATGTCTATCACCGGCCAGATTACGGAACAAGCGGTGCCTTTTGGACAGAGCGAGCCTTTGCGCGATGAGCACCCCGATTGCTGAGCCTTGCAGCGTTTCTGAGGAAGCAGCAACGGCAATCAGTAAATACATTTCCCAACTTGACGATAACCTCCGCCGGCAATTCGAAAATGAACTGAATCGTGTCCTGAAGTCCTACCAAGGCTTCAGGCAGAGGTGTCAGCAAAATCTTCTGTCAGGATTGCCTCTTAAACACGCACTCGAGGACAAGTCTGGAGTCATGGCACAAATCAGAAGAGAGTTCCCCTGTTACATTACGAATTTCACCTACGATAATATCGCCGACATATCCTTCACTGCTTACGAATATGCCGTAGTCAAGCCGGAACCATACACGATGCCAATTGAGCTCCTAACCATAGGACTCCCACCTCCACTGGACCCCTCTTCCGAAGACCTTTTACCTAGTCTGCATCTCAATACTGTTCGGCGTAACGGAGGCAAAGCTAATCAAACTATGAGCGCGAGCACTGTTGGGAAGAATCGACCTGAAAGCTTCGTTTTCCTTTACACGCTGGACGGAGCGAGGAGTTACTGGATTTTGACCTGCCCGAGGAAGGATTGTCAAAACCGCGAATTTTCCAGGAACCCAATTACCAGCGGAGATGCAAAAGCACACTTCAAACAGTGTAAAGTCCCTTTCATAAACGAGGAGAAGATTGTCAGGAAGTATGGTACGAAAGGTAAGTGGAACTCTATGTTGTCGAACTTCTTCATCTTTCCCCAGACGAATGGTTGACATGTCTGCTTTCCAAAGTTATACCCCATCGACGCGACTCTCGAGACATGCCGATCAGCCGCCAATGGATAGCGAGGCACAACAGGAACATTGGAAGGGGAGTACTCTGCACGAATCAGGAGGATAAACAAGGAGGCAGGGGCGCAAGTTCAGTCACCACGGAAGATGAGCTTCGAGAGTCTGACTAAGAGTGCTTGGAGGGCTTGATGAGAGGGGATCGATCTCGCACAGCAGTGCACCAATTGTGTCCTTGATCTCTGGTAGTGAGGGGCAACACGAATAGAGAGTAGTCGAGATACCACGCTGTACGTGCTCGTTTAGTAACAGGAATTCAATTTCGAGTACGCAGCATTTTGGGAAGGTCGTCAAGATATGCCCGTATCGAACAGCCAGCTTAAGTATTCCCTATGCTGTCTTTGTCTTCTGGTGAAGACTTTACTTCACAAGCTCACAATCGGCACCCGTCCATCTGCCGCACCTTATATGTAGTTTCATGTGGAAACTTGGTAGAAAGATACTTCATCGAACTGACTCGATTTCTAAACGTTATGGGAAGACTTGCGAAATACTATGCCAATATTCTTGTCCAGGTTCATATCGGCTTTGCCAGTAGCGTCATCGATAACAGGGCAACAGCAAACGAGGAAACCGATGCTCTCTCGACTGCATACACTTTAAGCAGGTACAGTTGAATTTGAAGCAGAGTTTAGACGTAACAACGTCGATGGTCCGCATCATTGTGTGGTCCAAGATATTCCTCGAGTTCCAGCTCGAAGATGCCAATCTCGCTGAGCGTATTCCTGCAAGGCACTGTCGAACTAGCTACCTGTCACTAAAACAGAATTCGCTTCGATTTATGGTTTCAATACGCATCTAGAATTTCTGTGAAGTTCATGACAGCTACGTTCCAAGCCCACGCAGGCTTCTGCAGGCAGCGAAGTCAATACGGCCAGAAGATCGAGGGCCTCCGCCAGGTGATCTAGGTGATTGATTACATAACGAAGACCCCATGACGAGTGGCGAGACCTTGAACGGGTGTTGCTATCACGACACTATCAAGTATTGAACACCGCGAATGTACTTTAAGGAGGAAGATAAGCTAGGAAACTATGTCATCCTAGACAGTTGCTCCAAACAAGCTCACCGAGAGTCACGCAGGGCAGCGGCCAGGCGAGCCTATGAGTGCATGGCATTAAGCGTATGAAAACCCAAAGAATACATGCAAATACCTCGATAAAATACTTCTCAGTACCGTTGCCCGGTTTCATTCAGCGCTGCACCCAAGGCAACTCTAATCAAGTTACAGAACATCGCCCTTAATCGAATCAACTCTAATTAAGCACAATTACTGAGCCGGGTTTTGTTTTAAACAAAGCCGAGACAGTCAAGGGCAAACTCCCGCCGACGGCGCCTTTTTGGGCCTCGGTTGACTTCTACTAAATACATCCTCAACGTGAGTATTCAATTGATCAACTCTTGGGGGTAAGGAGACCAACTTAATTCAATCAACCTCTGAAGGAAGAACAAATTGATCAACGTCACGAAGGCAGGAAGTCAGTTAATCAACCAGAATGCCGAAGCTGCGTTGCTTGCGTTGAGTGCGGACTTTATGTTAGCGTCATCGCCTCGAGGCAGTGGTCCAATCAGTGTAGGCAGTATTGTAGGTAGAGTAAAGTCAAAAGTGCCATTAGTTTCTCTTCAGCGGAGGGGTTTTGGGTTGGTTGTGCAGCGAGTGTACAGCATTCCATTCGAATGTAATTCGAGTTAGACGGATGATAACGAGGATGCAGGTATTATGCTAGCCTTGCATATTTAGAAAGTGTCGATTTGAAGTCTCATTTAACCTCGAGGCAAGGGGCCGCACAGGGGCCACTTACAAACCTATACTTACAAAAACTACGGTCTACCTAACCTTTAGTTAAAACTACTCTTTTATACCTCAATATAGAAGTTAATATATACTATTTTAACCTCTTTATTAACCTACGGTTCGAACTAATTACCCCGTAATAGGGATACCAATAGAAAGAGGGCAGGCGACCTGTTGTAACACTTGCTGCCACCTCGTGCTCGTTGGCGACGCCTGATGCAGCTGGCTAATGATCCTCAAAGACCCCAACGCCATTTTCTCAGCCTCCACTGGAGCGACGTGCGGACACAGACGCGGTTGCCGCCACAAATACGACGACAGCGAGCCGCACATGTAGACGCAGAAGATGAGGATAGCAGGGAACCCCTCGTCGCGCGCCCTCATGCTGAAGTATGCCTCTACCTGCTCGTGCAACTCGACCACATCACTAAACAACTCGTTAGACATGTCAGTCCAGAAATCCTCGGGCGCAATGTTCTGGTATTTCTTCTTCTCGTCTGCGGTGATGGGTGATAGGGCAAGAATTATGTGGTTGATGAACGCCCTCCCCAGCACGATATTACTTAGGCGCAAGACCATGACGATGGAAAGGTAGGCCAAGTGTAAACCCCCCGCCCTCCAATCGCCCAGGTTCCAAAGACTCTATTTATGCTTCGGTGGGATTTTCGCCTCCCACCCTTTGAGTCCCTCCGCCAGTGTAGCGTGTTGGCCTTGGGGCCTCCAGGGATATTCTACCGCCAAACTGTCGGCTTGATGCCCTGCCTGACGAGCAACCTTCCCCCATAGGTCATGTGCCTGTACAAGTGTCGCAAAGAGGCATCTCCCCGGGCCCCCGACGAGACGAGGGCTGGCGAGGGCAAGAGGCGTATCAGGTAACGCAGCCCTCTCATCAGGGATAACTCTGAAAGGAAAATCGCTCTCTTGGCAAGGAAGGAGGGCCGTGATGGCTACTAGGGGAAACGATGTCGGAGTGCTATGGCCAGAGTGGAGGCTCTCCTGGCTCTGGATCATCCAGAACGTGCGCCTTGTCGATTCCGCCTGTACCACCTGCTCGGGCTGGACATCTGGTGGGAGGGCGTACGTCTCTTCCAGGTGAAGCCTAAGCAGCGTTGCCATACGAACCGCAACACTCATATTCATGGAGCTCCTCTCCTTGTCTCCGTTGCCCCACTCCGCGATGGCGAGTAGGAAGAAGGCTTGGGTGTTTTCCAATGAGGACTGGTATATCTCCTCTGACACCATGCCCCTTGCATATTCTAGGACTTGCTTCGTTGTTCTAGGAGCATTTCCAAATCGTCGGATCAGGATAGGGGTGAAGCGGGAGGAAACGGAAAGGATGCAGCAAAGGAGGAAGTTGCTTGTTGCGAGAGGGTCCTGGGCTAGGTTTCCCTAGAACATTGCCTTTGGGATAAACCCCAGCTAGAAGTAGGATGTCACAGAGATTCTACAGCCCTCGGCTAATTCTTCGTTCGGCGGCAATGACCCCGCAGGTTCTCTCGCTGGCTCTCTTACTGGCGTGGGAGGGATAATCTTCCCGGTAGACAGCTCTGGCATCTGCGCCATCAAACCTGCCGCCCCATTTTCCAAAGTATCCTCCGCAACTATACCCAACCCAGTACTCTCCTGCACTGTGGAAGAGTCGCACACTATAGAAAGCCCATCGGGGCTACTTGTAGAGTCGGTATCTTCGGGTACATATGACGGCAGTGGTCGCGATCGACGGCGGAACTGACGGCCAGCCGCCTCATCCCCACGTCGAGGGACTGTGCAGGGTCTCAAGGCTTCGGTGCCGGCCTGGCGGCATGCTTCGCACGGCGGCTGCGAATTCTGCTTTACGCACTTGGATCGAAGGCGCCGGCATCTACGGCAGGCGGCCCCTCCATGGCGTTGAATGGGCCTTTGTATGATTCTGCCGGCACGGGTGCAGCGAGGTGCGAGTCCGCCATCTTGTAGACAATCTCCCTCTCTGAAGAGTCGATGTCGAACGAGGCGACGAGGCTCTGAAAATCCTGCGATAGCGCCATTCTGTTCGATTCAAGGGGTTCCAACTCCGGCAGCTCGTAGTGGCTGCCAAAGATTTCCTGGATATAGTCTCTGCACGGGCCGTCGGGTAGGGAGATGCGTAAGCGCAAACCGGCTTGAATGACGGCCACTCCCCCGGCCGGACCGTGAGCCAGCCTAGCTCGGTCTGTATGTCGAGTCTGCCTTGCTGTGGGAGGATCATAAAGTCCGCTTCATTGTTGCAAAAGGCTCTATTGGTCATGGGTCTGGAGGCGGTGTAGACGTATATTGCGATGCCCTCCTTCGAAATCGGATCTCCCTAGCCACCGATTGTACGTATTCCCTGCACGAAATCGAGTCCTCCCGACCCTGCATCGCCGTCTTCGCCAGGCAGCGGGAACGGATCCCACGCCTGTTGTGCCGCAACATACTTGACTCGCTCATTGAACGGCGAGAAGCAAGCCTGCAGCCACGGATTCAGCTCCGGCGGAGGCACGACGTCGCGATGCGCGACCGACGGCCAGATGCGATACATCCATACATGCTGAAGTGTCGCCCTCGAGCTCACAAAGGCGGACCAGTTGAGCTGTTCCGAATACAAGTCGAATTTGCATTTCCGGGGCGCATTTTGGCCGAGGGGCAACGTTCCCGGCACCGCCTCCGATGCGAACCGATTTTCGAACCCCGTTTGGTAGCGGTGGGGGTCCGAGTCAGTCGGCGCCGTGGAGTAAAAGCGGCCGCCGCTGTAGCCCCGACCATTTTCGAGGCCGTCCTCTCTTGTCTGTGGTGAGGGGTAGAGCAGGTGAGCAGAAAAGGCACACGCGGCTCGGTGCGACTCGGTGATGCGAGCTATCGTCTGCACGTCACTGACTAGACGCTGTGACTAGTGAGTAATATCTGCATCTTAGGTGAGACCGTGGGATTGAATGACAAGAAACGGAGGGCCGTAGGAAAGAAGAAGGCGCGTTGAAGTATTGCAGAAGGTCAGCTACAAATGGATTCCAGCACAGCTCGAGTATACTCCGAGAAACATCCAATAGTAAAAGCTTTCAAAACGGCACAAAGCTCAAAAATCATACGGAAAACGCGGAAACAGCCCATGGACCAGGTACCACGGTGTAGCAGGCAGATGGGCCATGTCGTGTAAGACGACTAACATTTTGCCCATTTCCGGCAATCTCAGGAGCTTCTCGTCGGCTGCGGGTGCACTTGTCTTTGAAGTGGCTCCTTTTGCCGGTTACTACCAGGATCCGGCAAGCCGTCGTGGGCAGAATTTCCGACCAGGTTTTCCTTTGTGTTGGTTTGGCGTCATGCCCAAGTTCTCCTCATCTCAGGTTTCTCACATGCACTAGCCCGAGTCAAACAGCTCTTAGTCTGTGTGTCCTTGACTCTTACCCTCAATGACTTCTCGCTGATAGGTAATCCACTGGCAGAGTAAGGTCTCCTCATCATTACGTGCTCGAAGGACGCTGGCCCCTCTTCCACCCCGTCAGCCAAGATGACCATTCTGGGGTCCCTGCGTGCTGCATCACGACAAGGTTGGAATAGGCATCGCGTTGGCTATCATTGGTGACACCTCTGTATAAGAGCCTCGAGGCTTCCCCATCACCGAGACCCATCTTCTCGGCTTCGGTGATCCTAGTAAGACTATCCCGAGGGCAGATTCGCTCGCTAACGACGCTCGCTACGTTCCTTTGAATGGAACTACGATACGCGGCAATGGCCCTCTTCCAAATGATATCCGTGCATAGCACACGCCTCGCCGCGATCCTCCTCCTCCTCCTAGCTGCTGCCGTCACCATCCATGCCATACGGACCCGGCGCAGGCGCCCACGCAACCCCGGAACCCAGCGGGGCCTCCCGCTCCCGCCCGGCCCCCGCGGCGAACCGATCCTCGGCCACCTCCGCATCATCCCGACTAACAACCCAGAATATGCCTACGCCGCCTGGTCAAATGAGTACCGCTCCGACGTGCTCTACTTCAACGTCCTGGGCCGGCCCGTCATCGTCCTCAACTCTGTGCGCGCCGCCGTCGACTTGCTCGATAAAAGAGGGGCGAATTACTGCGATCGCCCGCGTTTTGTGCTATTCGAGGTGATGGGCTGGCGCAAGACGTTGACGTTTTTGCGATGGGGCCCGGCGTTTCGTATGCATCGCAGGATCCTGCAGCGGAGCTTTTCCAAGACGAGTATCCAGAGGTACCGCAAGCTACAGGAGAGGGAGGCTTTGGTCTTGTTGAAGGGGATTATAAGAGACCCCGGATCCTGGGAGACATCCCTTCGGAGATTCGCGACCGCCGTTGTGATGAGCATAGGTTTCGGTGTCAACGTGGAGAGTGATACCGACCCGTACATACAAATGGCCACAGACGCGTCCTACGCCCTCGGCCACGGCGGAGCCCCGGCCGGGACTCTGGTCGACTTCTTCCCCTTTGTGCGTTATCTCCCCGACTGGCTAGTCCGTGACCGGTCACTCCGGTTCGCACGGGACTGGAGTTGGGCCATCCGCCAGATCCACGATGCCCCCTACGCCGCCGTGGCCGCTAAGAAGACCCAGGACCAGGAGTACAGCCTCATCAAGATGCTGCTCGAGCAGAGAGCAGAGCAGATCAAATCGGGAATGGCGCCGGAGCTGTCGGTTGACGACATCAAGGGCGCAGCGGGGGCGGTCTACGCCGCAGGACAGGATACGACGTGGTCCACACTGGTAGTCTTTGTCCTCAACATGGTTCTTCACCCCGAGGTCCAGGATAAGGCGCAGAGGATGCTAGATGAGGTTGTCGAGGACGGGAGGTTGCCCACATTTGAAGATAGGCGGAGGCTGCCATACATTAACTATATCGTCCAGGAGACCCTGCGGTGGTGCCCTGTATCCCCGATCGGCGTGCCGCATCGCTCGCTAGAGGATGATGTCTACGATGGCATGTTTATACCGAAAGGATCGTTCGTGTACGCCAACGCGCGCGCGATGACGCATGACGAGCGGACGTACGCTGATGCCGGGGCGTTTGACCCAGATAGATATATACCCATCGTGGAGGGCGGCCGTGGGGAGCCGTTCCCGGTGGGACAGTTTGGTTTCGGTAGGAGGGTTTGTGTTGGGAGGCACCTCGCAGAGGCGAGCGTCTGGATTGTCATCGCGTCAATGCTGGCGACGGTCAGGATTGAGAAAGCTAGAGGGCCGAGGGGAGAGGAAATTATACCCCGTGTTAAGTTGACGAACGGGCTTACGAGTCATCCAAAGCGTTTCCTGTGCCGGATTAGGCCCAGGAGTTCTCGTAGGGCAGAGATGGTTATCTCTGCAACCCGATAGCTGTATCCGATCTTGAATGCATAGGCCGGATAGGTACACTATACTATAATTTTGCACGCCTAACCAATCGACAGCGCAAAATGCAACTACTTCTTTATCATTCTATCTGGGCTAGACTTGTACATCCATGGCATTAAAGACTCCATGTCTTCATAACCATACCGCCTTTCACATCCACCTTTTCTGCTGGCCACGCAGAGGTCCAACACAACACAACCAACACGACCAACACAACCAACTGATTCAAAACCTTAAAGAAACACCGCAATTGAACATCCCCCTCTTCATCATACACTCGCAGCCGCTCTATAAACCATGGAATCCAAGGAGGAAGCCGGACTGTGCTCGTCCAAGGATGTTCTCTCCAAAATGTCGCCAGAGGCTCGTAAGAACACTTACAACAAAGCGATCGTTGTCTCAACTCCAGTATTCGTCTCCCAAGACTCTCAAAACGGACCGATAGAGTTTTTCGTACCCGGTAAACCAACTCAATGGCCTAGATTGCCATTAGTGAAGTTTCTAGAGTACAATGAACAAGAGACAGACGCAGTCTTTTACGGCTCGAATCATTTCAACCTCGTCGACACAACGACCCGGCGCAAAACTTCGATCTTAGAAGCCTTTCTGGTCTCACCCACGTCAACTCATGCGCGTCTGCTATCCCACTTGTCCCTCAGCTTTCCTACCCTCGAGGCGGTAGAGGGACGGTCCGAAATGCTGGGGCTTACGCAGAATGGAACGCGCACCTTGAAGCTTCTCCAAGACTACTGTGTCAATCTGAAAACGTTGGAATTGTACTTGTTTAAATTCAATGCCTTCGGTCTTGTTGGAGAAGCTCCTGGCGACTCACAGTCCCGCCGCGAGGCTTTATTGCAAGTCAACGCGCAGTTAAAGGCTGTTCCGTCTCTGAAAAGACTTCTCGTCAGGTGTTATCATGACAGAACAACCCCTGAGGTGATACAGTTGATGCAGGGCCTTGGTTGGATGGTCCTGGTGGGCGATAAGGGGTTATCATGATTGTCGCAAGCTTGTGCACATGGCTCATCACTTTTTCAGGGCCATGGAGAGGATGCGGCTATGTGACCGAGACCATGTATGGAAAGAAGCTGAAGGGATTTTCGTTATTGGGCATGGAGGGGCCTTTTTGCATTCAAGACTATTAGTGGCGGCACGTACCGGTACAGTATTTGTTTGGCCTCCAAGTTCACGTTTCGTTGGTGGTGCAGGAATGACAGGTCGTAAGTCAGATCACTATGTTAGCTTTACCAACTAAGTCAGTATATTACATCTGTTCTACCCAACATTGGTGTTCGCCTCCTAAGGGAAATGCTTGTCTAGTAACTAACATCACTTAGATGCCCTCGGACAACACGAAACATAGCTAAGAACATCCACCCGATACGAAACACTCTGCCTGAGCAGTACCCTGCCTGGTCCCAATGAATAACAGCTACCACTTTCGGATTTCGCCCCAGCAACAAGATGACATTAGACGTGGCGAGATTATCAGATATCCTACAGGAAATGTGCTCTACTACTACTACGGACGACCTACGCCAGCCATTTATGGGTTCGAGCTAAGCCTGGACGGCCCTCCCTTTTTCTATTATCGCGCACACTCTTTTAGCGCCCATATCCCATCGAGCGCGAGATAACGTCGGTCTGAGCCTCTTCAGTCTTCTCGAACACTTGAATTACTGATTTGACTGAGTACATCAGACGGCATTAAAACGGGGTTGATATGGTTTGTCATAGAAGAAAAAGTATGTTATTCGCTACCAGCCCTCGGGAGAAGCACGTCCCTTTGTACTGACATTGCCTCGCACTCCATGGGACAGCGCATTCTCTCAGGCTTTGCTTTACCCTCTTAGGTTGAACTCTCAATGAGAAGGCACCCCGACATCAAATAAGCCTGAGCGGCGCTCTTGATATTACGCCTCATTGCTTTCTACAGGGAGGAAAGGTCCAAGAGTCCTGCCGAGATTTACCCGGGGAGTGACTATTTTGCTGGGCGTAGCTCATCCTACCTAGGGGCTCCGAGACTCATGAGACGAAGTTAATTATTAAAAAGACTTGCCCTGGACTGCTTTACTATATTCGAATTTGTTCGCTTGAGAATCGAAAAGATGTTCGAGTACTTCCCATGTGTAAGTCAAGAAGATAATATTACTTTAGGTAACTACCCCATTCATCTAAAAGTACAACTACAGACAAAGAAAATCTTTAAAATCGACCGCGGCCTCCCTGCTGTGGTATCAAACTCGTGAATTAAGCAAAGGAAAAAAAAGCCATCAACGCCGATCTGCTCCAATCATCAATCCTCTAAATGAGTGTCTGTGGTATGAGTCTCCCCTTACTTGGCACCATTGACCTTGGCGCCGTTCTCACTCTGCATAGCCTGCATACCAGCATTCATCTTGCCAAACTGCCACTCGGGCAGCGTAATGCCAGTCTGCTCGTTGATAGTCGTCATCAGAGGAGGCAACATCTGGTAGACGTTGCGCATGGTATCGATACCGGAGTTGGCACCACCCTCACCAGAACCCTGGCTACCAGTGTTCCAGACGCTGATCTTGGGCTGCAGGCCGCGAATGGCGTCGGCGTTGGCCTTTGCGAGCTGAACGTAGGTGCCCTTCTCGATCATGAGGTACTGCAGCAGACCGGCGGGCCCGCCAAAGGCAGTCGACATCTTGCCGTAGGCGTCCGCCATGGCAGACATGCCCTCAGCCTTCTTCAGCATAATGGCCAGCTCGGCCTCGGCGTTGAGCTGCGCCGAGTACTGGTGCGCCTCTGCGTCCTGGCGGGCCTTATAGGCGTTTGCATCAGCCGTCTTGGTGGTACGATTGAACTCGGCCGAAGTATGCGCGTCGGCGTCCTTTTGCGTCTGGTAGGCCTTGGCCTCGGTCTCGCGCTGGCTCCTCTCAAAGTTCGCCTTGGCATCGGCCTCGATGGCGTAGGCCTCGGCGTCGGCTTCTTGCTGGCGCGCCTCGCGCTCGATAGTGGCCTTTACGACGTCGGTGGCACGCAGGCGCTCAATCTCTGCGGCGGCGCGCTTGAGCTCGACCTCGCGCTTGAGGTCCTCGTCCTTGGACTCGAGGGCACGGCGGGCCTCGACGCGGGCGATTTCGACGTCCTTGCTGAGAGAGGCCTGGCGGGTGTCGAGGTTGGCCTCGGCGGTGGCGCGCTCGATGTCGCGGTCCGTCTTCTGGACGGCGGTCTCGGCGTTGATCTTTGCGATTTCACGCTCCTGCTCGCCCTTGCGCTTCGACTCGCCGACGTTACCGCGCAATTGAGCCTCGGCGACGTCGATCCTGGCCTGGTTGCTGGCGCCCTCGTGGGCCTTGCGGGAGAGGGACTCAAAGTAGTTTGAGTTGGGGGCGTCCTTGAGCTCCTTTACGTTTGCATTGTAAATCTTGAGGCCGAATTGGCTGAGCTCGGATTGGATGTTGCGGAAGATACGGCGCTTGAAGACCTCGCGCTCGGTAAAGATCTCTTCCATGGTCATGCTGGAGACCAGGACACGGACTTCACCTTCGATGATGCCCTTGACGATGTTCTCGAGGTGGAGCAGGGAGCTTGTCTTCTTGTCGGCGGACTCGGCGAGAAGCATAGCGTACTTCATCAGGGCGTCGCCGCGGTCCTCGCGACGGTTGGAAGACATGTAGCTGTCGTCCTCATCGTGCTGCTGTTGCTCCGAGGTATCGGAGTGGTGGTTGGATTGATGGGCGGCGTTGGCGCCGCGCTGATTGACGTCGGGACCGACGGTAAAGACGACGGGCAGGAGGAATTGAAGCTTCTCCTTGGTCATGGCCTGGAGGCTCATGGCATAGTCATGGGGCGTGATGCGGAAGCGCATGCAGCGTTGGAAGGGCCAAACCCAGGCGGCCTTTGTGATCTTGACCGTCTTCACGGACATACCCGTGATGGCGAGGTATTCATCGGGGGCGGCGACTCTGTACGACATTTTGGCGAAGTTGTTTGGTTTGGAGTGAGTGAGCGTCAGGTAGAGATAGAGGAAGGGTTGGACGAGCGTGAAGGGAGTGAATTCTACAAGGCGACTGCTCTTCTGACGTGTTGGCACTAAAGCTCTGGTTTGAGGATCAGTTGATGGCTGGAGGGGCGTTTAGAGTAAAGGTTGCTTGAGGTTGTGATATTCTCTTGTAGATAAGAAAACTCGAGGTATCTTGAGGTAGCTCTATGTTTGTGTGACACAACACTGCAAGTAAAGAAACTTACCGCCGTATTATATAGAAACAATGCAGTGAAACCAAGACATCAAGCTCCGAGCTCGAGAATGGAGTCATACCATGTTACCAACCTTACCTATCTCATCAGGCCCCTGACGGGAACGCCCAGCCAAGCAAGCTAGTATTACCGGTAAACGGTTGCAGGATGCATCATGCAGCTAGCGTGTGACCAGTGACCAGGCATTTTTCGGTTACACCACATAGCATTCTGGCAGCCTGTGAAGTGAGCCTCGTGGCATGCCTAGCATAGCACATCATTGTTGGAGTGAAGACAAGTGTTAGGCGGTAACATTGGTAAATGGTCGCCGTCAGGACTCCGTCCCGTTGGTGGCGGTGCATAGGGTAAGTCAAGACATCCATGGACCTGAATGTGGAGGAAATGACATGGCTGAAATGGCCCCTTCCTATTGTTGCACCAGACGGCATGCACGGCAGCCTCCCGGTTAGTTAGTCATGTCTCTCCACGTGACACCATCGGAGCATTTTTGACGAATCAAAAGTCGGCAGTGGATGAGCTAAGTCAGGTGATGTGGCTCAAGAGCGCTAGAGTTTTTCTCGAAGCCTGCCGTATATGGCTGCCTGGTTATGTAATCGCCTAAGGTGGCTGGTCTGGGGAAATTAAGGTGTCGATCCACCATCTGAGGCCCGCCACTGCTTCGCCCGGCACATTGACAACACCCTCGCTCACGGTTCCGCCAGGTCAGACTTGCATCAAGGGATGCAGGGACGGGCTAATACAAGTGCGCAGGCCTGAATCAGACCATCGAGGTTCCCATAGATACAATACAGGCATGTAAGTAGTGTCTCGTCCACAATCCCTCTCAAAGGGTATGGTCTGCTCCAGTTCCGGGCACCACATGAATCAAGGCCTGTCCTTCCCGTAACCGAACGCTTACTTTACGACTACATGTCAACTATCTTGCGGCTGAAACTGGCATCTTGATCACACACTAACAACGCCAGGAAATCGCTCAAATATCCACAGTAACATCGGACTTGACTTGGCCTTCTATTCCCAAATCGACGACCGAAGCCTAAGTCTGAAATTCTCGCATATCAATCGACCAGCGGGCCTCATTCTCGGTCACCTGTTCCGGGAATGCTGAGCGAGGGCGCACTAATGCCTCCTCGCCCCCTTCCAATAGAAACCAGCTGCGGCGCAGCACAGCACTTTAGTCGGGCGTTTTCCCCCTCCTTTTCTTCTCAGCACGTTCTCCAAGAACGCCTCCGAGAACCCTTAGAGCAAGCCATTAGCGTCACCGACAATCGTCGACTAGCAATTGCAGCGCCTGGCAATGCTGCTTCGCCCAGCCGCAATGCCGCCTGAACCGACCCCAAGGACTAATCGAAGGATCTACAACACCCACGAACCGATTCACAGCCTCTCCCGGCCTCATTCCGTTCCTACTCTTTGATCTAACATAACCATACAATTTCCGCCCCTGCATATCATCAGTTGGTCCAAGAACCCTGTGACCCTGTGACAGACAGACCAATTCGATAATCTCCGCCACCATCCCCGGATTATGACCTCCACTCCGCGCAGGCATTCCGGTTCCCAACGCTCAGCCCTGTGAAAGTAGAACTGATGTTCCCATCGGCATCGGCCGAAAGCACTTTAACCACCACATCGAACTGTGTTTCCACTCTTTCATCATTGCGGAATTGCCGTCTCGGCACCGAAAGTCGTTGCCTGCCTTTCCCGATCCTCCAAGGTTCATTCATTATTGCGGCACACACCTGATGTCAGCCGTCGCCCGAGGCGTTTTCCAGCAGAAGAGCGCTCGGTAACAGTTGCGGTCCATCTCTCAAGGTCGTCCACCCTGTGACAGACGAACGCCTGGCTTCCAATCATCTTACCCACGACTCGCACTGCATCAGCCCTACGAGTTCACCTTCATACAGGTCTCGGTCGCCAAACCGCGAAACATCAACCTAGTTCTGAACTTACTCTAAGGCACCGTCGCGATGTCGAAAAGTCGTGATGGGGACGGGGACCTGCCCCCCTCATACAACGAGGCAACGACATCCTACCACTCGCCATCGTCATTCAACCCCAACTCATCGGTCTCAGCAACTCTCAACAACCTCTCTTCCCTCCTCCGTGAAACGCAAGCTCAACAAACTGCCAGAGATACCGTCACAACGACAGCCCTTCTCCCGCTTCTGACGCCCCACATCACGTCACTCTTGACATGTCTAGGGACAACCCCTCACCCGCCGGTATCAACAGAGCTCTATCTCGTTCCCTCGGCAGCAGTTGGTCCAGAATGGATCATCGCCTCGGACGCCGACCCCAAGGCAGGACAGGTCGCGGAAGTCATCCGCGTGCAACCGGAGCCCGATCCCGATTCCAAGGGGAGGGGTGACACCAAAGGTCCAAGCTCGGGCTCAGCCTCCGGAAATATAATAGGCTCCTCATATGAATTCGACGAATGGGGCCGCTGGGACGACGACACCAATGTAGGGTCGTCGTCGTCGTCGTCGAGGGAAGGAGAATGGTGGTGGAGCGATGAAGGCCTGGCCCGGCGTCTCGCGAAAAGGCTACAGCCCGAGCCGAAGCTCGATCGCACCGTCGTCCGTGCCGTCGTCGAACAGGCAAAGGAGGATAAAAAGGCCGGTCGGTGGGGGCTTTTCAGGACCGGCATGGAACCGTCGTCACCTTCGTCATCTTCTTCGGGTCCACCCCCTCCTCGGCAGATATTGAAGCACACGTCTTCTTCCACAACTTTTGAAGAAAATGTTGCTATGACAGTGCGCGCGGAGGAAGTCACCTTTCGCCGGGAAAATGAGATGGGGATATGGGAGAGTATGCGCGGCTTCGGAATTGTGGTAAGAGTAAGGATACGAAGGACATGAGGCTTTAATACCTAAGCATCCGCGCTGGATAGCCGATGTTAGGAAGGCAGGACGTTCAAATGAGAAGTGTTCCTCCCTGAAGGTCTCGTACTTCGGACTATTTCGGTCATCCGCTGCAAAGCTATCTAGCCGAATAGCTGCCCATTGCTGACCAACTCCTCGGTACTCGGCCTTGATGACAGGATGTCAGATGGATTCCCGCCGACCAATAGGCGGAACTCATACCTAAAAAGTGAATACCTCTCGTCCGAAATTCGATCGAATGCTGAGCCTCAGCTGCCTATTTGCGATAGCATATAAGGAATTAGCGTAAGGCAGGGGGCTGCTGAAGTTCAAGATAACATTGCACAAGTCTTGCTATCTAAAAGCCCAACAATTGTGAATAACGAACTGACCAAGGGATTACTTACCCAATAATAGATAAAGCTCTCGACAATGGTCTCTATTCAGCTAGTCAAGCAGTCCAATGCCCTCGTTGCATCTCTGCCCAAGGGTCTGGTAGCAGTCTTCATCGGCGCAACGTCAGGTATTGGCGAAAGCACCCTCCAACACCTGGCCCAACACGCGGAGTCCCCACGCATCTACTCCATCGCCCGTCCTCAAACCGCCGCATCCCACGAGACCTTCCTCGCCTCGCTGCGCGCAAACACATATCCAGATGCCAGCTATACCATCCTCCCCGCAGACCACGCCCTCGTATCGGACATCGATACCGCTATGGAAACCATCCTCCAAAAGGAAACGAAAGTCGACATCCTCTTCCTCTCCGCCGGCTTCATCGCATTTGAAGGACGCCGAAATACCATAGAAGGCTTAGACCCGTCCATGTCAACGCGGTACTACACCCGCCTCCGCGCCGTACAAAGGCTCCTCCCGCTTCTCAACAACGCGCCCCGCCCGCGGGTCATCTCGGTGCTAGCGGCGGGACTGGAGGGTCCTATGGTCGACGAGGACGATCTTGACCTCCGTCGGCCAGGAAACTGGGGGTTCTGGCCTGCTTCGGTGCAGGCTACGACCATGGGCACGCTCGCACTCGAGGTATTGGCAAGAGAGAACCCCGGTGTGAGTTTCGTGCATTCTATGCCTGGCATGGTGGCGACGCCTGGTTTGGAGAGGGCGAGGCGGTTTGGAGCGGGTGGGGCAACTGGGGAGATGAGTGTTGAGGAGGCGGGTGCGAGGGGGTTGTTTCTGGCAACTAGTGATCTGTATGATTCTCAAGAACGGGAAGGAGTTGTGAGGGTTCCTGGCGGGGTTGAATGTGTGAAGAAGTCTAGTGGTGGGATCTTTTTGGTTGGTCCGCAGGGGGAAAGAGTTGACAATGAGGAGGTTTTGGGGGATATGAGAGAGCGAGGGTTGGATGAGAAGGTGTGGAAGTTCACTCGGGAGATGTTTGATGATTGTCTCGAACGGAAATGAAGATCTATGGGTCGATCGAAGACTATAAAGATTTACAGAAGCTCTTTGAGGCTACGGTCAATCGTCATGGCTTAGGTATCGGCTGACGGATGATGCTTTCATATTTTGGTTCGCCTCGTAGCATTGGCTTTAAACAGGCCATCTAGCACTACTATATAAAAGTTATTTCTTTATGTATTGAATCCCAAGAGAGTTCATTATCTATCCAAGCTTATAGGTCGACTTTGTGTCCAGTCAACGCAGTCCCGCTCCAACGCGCTTTCCTACCAGAATAACCCATATTCATGGCTCTTTGGTTCGTCTTTGAAAGTTTGCTCGCCGGAAGATATACAAAAAGAACGTTGAAAATGACAGGAACAATGACAATGATAGAGGCAGCAATCGGAATGTCAAAAGCGGCAGTCTGTAGGGAAGAAGCAGGGACAAACGAAATACGGGTGGTGCCTTCCCAGGCAGACTTTTCCTTGCCCTCCTCTCGCTTCCATCCCGACGTTCGTAGAATTTTCTTCCCACCTACCTACTTATCTTAATTCCAGCTCCTATCACCCATCTGAGGTTCCGGCTCACCTTCCATCCTCACCTCACTCAGATGCACTTTCAGGCTTCATCTCACAACAGCTCTCAGCTCAACAGAGTCGCCTAAAAGCACTTTCTCAGCTTTTCTTTCTCTCCTTTGCATATGATGGACGCCGTTTCGATGGACACCGCCTCGAAGGACGCTGCTTCCATCGCGCATTTTCTCCAAAGCCACGTGCATCGGAAGATGCGTGGTGTCAATTCATCAGGCCCCAATCCAGTGGCCGTGGCCCTGAAACCCGAGTTCCTCCAACTGCTGGAGAAATACTTCAGTCGGTCAGACTCACAAGGGTACAATGTAACAATTAATTCACTACTGCAGTTGATAATTAGATGACTGATACTGTACAGCAATCCTGATCAGGCTAATCTGGCCCGCACTCCCAAGATGCGACAATTGCTAGATGTTTTCTTGAGCCGAGAAGGCCCTGGCGAAGGGTAATGTCTTCCCGATCTTCATCGATGCACCCGATAGATTGCTAACACCATACCAAACAGCGTGATCAGCATGCTAGATCTTGAGTGCCTCTTTCGGCGTCTGGCATCACACACACACCGCAGCTCCCGAACAGCAACTACCTCAAGGACCTCGACCAGAAGATCTTCTTAGTGCAACAGATCAATCAACTGTGTAGACAGTTCCATTCAGATGCCTTGATGAAGGGTTTTTGCTTGGACAAGGCTTTGTTCTAGTCCACGTTGATGACCATGGGCTTGGAGAGGTTGACAGAAGTTCGACGCGATCTGGATGATATGACCAGCGCCAGGGCAAAGAGGCTTCTACCCACAGAGTTTCCGGCGTGGGCCATCGCAACACCAACTCTTCTTCGTTCTTGTACGGTGCACCCCCGTCAGCTCTTTTTTGAGTTTACTAATTCGTTACTCGGTCATGAGAGGCTACGCGAAGGAGCCTAACCTCCTGTGTTGGCCAAAACTGCCGTTGAGCAACACGTCCGAAGCCAAAATTGTAAGCATCAGCTGCTCCTCGATGAATAATGGTAGAAAGGAGAAGTTGAAATTGACACTCTTTCCTCAAAAGGCACGTCAACGTGGCGGCAACTACTGCGTCCTCACAAAGCATGCCCTTCTTGTTACCGAAGTCTATCACATTATTCCACTTGATATATTGAGATTAAGGACCCATCTGACCAAGCAATTAGAGGGCTTGAGATCATGGTATATAGAAGAAAGCTTGACCGTCCTTCTGGAGAAGTTGACATCGGAGTTTCGCAATGGAAATATCATCGACACTCGCCGTAACATGATCTGCTTGGACCTATCAATGGGCCAATATTGGTTCAGAGGAGATTTCATGCTGAAGCCGATGAGTCGCCCAGTCCAGACGGTCGTCCCAGTTCCATTAGAATACCAGACTGATGAACCTCAGACGAAAGTCGTATGGGTTTTGACGCTGATGTTCCACTGGCTTCGAAATACGGAGTTTCCATGCCTACAAGTTTGCCGACGATGGAGACAATAACGGCGACAACGAAAATGATGATTTCGACGATACAGTGGCTTCTAGATCTCCTATACGGATGCGTATTAAGAAGGGGGGTCCACTCACAGTCGAATCTACAGCGCCGCATCATGCCTTCGGCCGCTATCGACGAAACGTCTCATGCCCAGCCTGATTCAGACGAAGCTGCGGTTGGAGGAGTTAATCCCGATGATGATGGAAACAACGATACCGCCGAGGACGACAAGACGGTCGACTCAACTCAACTCTCTACTGCCTAGGAGGAGGAGACGACCGAATTTTCGTCCCGCAAGCCCAACATCATCGACAATCTCAGCAAAGGACGGCAGAGAATGGGAGCTGTCTTGCGATCATTCCAGAGAGGCGTTCTGCGTCGACGGGAGGAGCGGGCCAACAAGGATAGTTCAAAGTGAGCGATCATCGGACGGAAACTTCCCGTTCTCTTGCTCCCCTGGCCACCAATCTGAACTCCATTCTGCACTTGTATTCTGAGGGCAAGATCATTTCAATTCTTCAGCGGATTGCCGCTATTACTTCTTCTGTTCTAGGTACAACTCAAATTCGTAGCTGGAAAAGAGGAAAGGAGCAACACCCTTGAGGTCGTTCTCAAACAGTGGCATGCTGGCATAGTACTAGAAGGAGGGTCAGAAACGAGGCCAATCAATGTATTCATAGCATGAGAAGAATTTCCACTTACCTCAAACGTGCCGTTGGAGCTTAAACTACCAGTCTGCACAGTCCACCCCCAGACGAGAGCATTATCGCTCTTGCGCGTGTCAGAAAACGTGTCCGTCATCAACTTGTACCCGCTAAGCGCAGACTTGAGGTACTTTTCGCCCTCAATGTAGCCCAGACGAACACTCTTGAGCAAGCCGTACACAAACATGGCAGACCCAGAGCTCTCGATATAATTCCCCCACTGGCCCTCGGTCCCAGGCGTCATGACAAGCCACCATCCCTTCGTCTTCTCATCCTGCGCAGCAACAACAGCGTCCGAGACGTGCTGCAGATATCCAACCAGCCGCTCGCGGCCCGGATGGTCCAGGGGAAACAACTCGAGGGTGTCGACGAGAGCCATGACGTACCACCCGACAGCGCGACCCCAAACATTAGGCGAGGCGCCCGTTTCCGGGTCAGCCCAGATGGCCTTTTTACTCCAATCGAAGCCGTGCAGCGGCAGGCCGTTTGTCGCGTTGCCGAGGATCGTACCCGCGGTGACGAGGTCGAACTGCAGCGCGATATCGTCCCAGGCGGTGGTGTTATCCGGCTCGAACTCGGCGGTCCAGCGGGCGTAGAAGACGTCGAGCATGTAAATTCCGTCGAGCCACATCTGGTCTATGTAGACGGGGTAACGGTGGTAGAACCCGCCGTCCGGGGATCGGCCTGTACGATCAATCTGCTTGCGCAAGGTGGTCGCAGCAGTCTTGTAGATTTCGTCGCCGGTGGCGTTGTAGATGTCGAGAAACGTGTGGCCGAAGCGAATGTCGTCGATGGAGTTGCTGTTATTGTAGAGCAGGATCTCGCCGTCTTGGGCAGGGTAGAGGAGGATGTCTGTGGCGTGCTTGACGTAGTCGTAGTACCTCTTGTCGCCGGTCCTTTCGTAGGCGCCAAGGACGCCCGAGTAGAAGGCGGAGATTGTGTAGGCATAGGTTGGTTCTACGCCGTGCTTGATCTGGGAGTCGGCCATCCATGTTAGAAACCGGGGTTCGCCGTCGAGTTTGCCGGGGTTGAGCTTCTCGTCGGGGGAGATGGAGAACCAGCCGTTGGGGAGGGAGATGGCTGCGAATGAGAGGGCGGCGCTGGCGAGCGCCGTGGTTGCTAGTGAGGTGATTCTCATGATTATTTCTACGTGACTGCTCTCCGGCTAGATGGTTGATGGTATCAACGACTTGGAGGGCATGGAGCAAGCTGAAGAGCACAACGTTCCATCATGGCATCCTCAAGGTTCATATTTATGCAAAAACCTGCCTTCTAGTTAGAACACCACCAAGCTCAAAAGATCTCGTGAAGTTCGCCTTGTTCAAGGTTCCCCTCACTTTCACTCCGTCCAAGATCGGCCAAGAGCTGGCCAATTTGACTGAGTCGTTTAGGGTTCCATTCCATCTGCAGCTTTGCTTATCCGGTGCGTGCCTAGGAGCCAGAGCACGAGCTTGGTATGAAGATACCAAACTTGGCACTTGATGAACCCAGGAATTGGAGGCATGATGTCAAGCCGAGGACCGGATAGCTGGTTCGATACTCTGAAGCTTGACGGAAAAGCAGGGTCTCTCCAAGACTGCGGGGCCCATACGGAAGTACGAGAAACTAAATTGACGTTGAGTTTGCGGGGAAGGCCGGGGGGACGAGACCGGCCGGAGCGGGGAAGGCCAGTAGTTTGCTCTTATGCTTAAACTCACACCAAGGCACCCCGTACCGGCGTACAGGAAACTTTTCGGCTTGGGATGAACTGAAGTTCATGGCAATTGCAAATAACATTCGGTTATCAGCGGTGTCGGTTGATCAAGGGCATGAGGCTCACTTTCACAGTAATTCCCGACCTATCTTCGCATGCACTTTCACCCAAGTATCTCGCGGAGACATCTGCACGACATTCCGTGTGCCGGAGCGGTAGTAGTCAGCCGGGAATATGATGACTATTTCCTATCGGTTCCTTCCCAGTTGTTGAAGCTGCATGCAGTACATCATCCTTCCTCTGGAAACTCGGCACTCAAGTTCTTCAAATTGCCGACGAATTTACACACCAATCAAAAGGATGACTGGCGATGTAGTTGGTCTGGCACACCTAGAGCGATGAACAAACTGATAGATCTCGGCGGTTGTTAAGCCGGTTGGCTTGTTCCCAAGGCTTGGCATCATCTCTATTGTGAGAAGGCGGTGACGCCTATCGATATTAAATCTACCATGCAGCATCAGCATCGCCATTTTGCCAAGCCCCAACCATATTGTGACTTTTCCGTTTACAAGCCAAGCACTTTTCCGCGCTTTCGGAAGGTCGCGACGATATTCCCTCATCGTCATCTTCGTTCAACACTTCGAGTCCTCTTAATCTACTAATAACAGCCAGGGACTCAAGAATTCGTATGAAGCACAGTGACCTGCCCTGGCCTATTATTGTCTGCATATAAAGTCAAGGTGATACTTGGCCTTTTGCCATCAAGCTCGATAAGCGATGCTAGCATTTGACCCGAAGGCTAATCACCACCACGTGCGCGATAAAGGTGAATCGAGGAAAGCCTTGACGGTAACTCATCACACTATTCTCATTTTCTAAGTGTTCCCCATAAATTGAACTTATGGCGATCCAAAATCGGCCTAGCTGCAGTTCTCATCAGACCTGTCGGAACCTGGCCCGTCATCTCCCCTGATTACGACCAAGTACAATGATGACTTCAGTCGGCCATGAGCAGAGTAACAAGTGGGTGGCACACTAACCCGCCAGCCAACATATCTTCAGCCCCCATTCTCATGTTTGGCACTATTGTTTTTCTTGTTGTCTTTTTCGAATTACTTTATTATTCAAAGAATTTACCCAGAAAGCAAGCTGAGAGTGATGTTAGTGACATCAATAGCGGTAGAGAGAGGTAACCCTGGATGAAATAGTTGAGACGACGGAAGTGGCAGTGGTAATGATAGAAACCTAAACACTTTCTAAAGTTGACATGAGGTGGGGCACCTAGTGGTGATCATGAACATGAGATCAACCTTAGAAAAGTAGGAAATTCAATCTCCTGATTACACGCAACCAACGACTCATCATGCCTCATTCGAAGCTCCTTTCGCCTCTTCATCGTGACCACAGAGATATGGCCGTGTCTGCGTAGCTGGGCTTAGAGATATATGCATTCTTCAAAGGCACCATCCGTACATCCTGGCTCAATCGTGGACTAGCGGGTCTCTACCCGTCCGATCAAGTGCCGGTGCAAGCGGGACGCCCCATCTGAAATTCTTCAAAGATTGCCGAGAACGGGCAAATCTCGAGCTACGGGATGAGTGGGATAGGGGTCCGTTCACCACAAACTTTCTAAAAAGCCTCATTTTCGACCCCAAAGTAACTCCACTCGCCAATCACGTCAGTTATCTTCAACTTCACACCCGTTCTCCTCATTTCTCTCTCTCACTTTCCAACCAAACGTAAACCCGAAACACCACAGTAGACAATAGTAGACCGGAACTGATTCACACGAGAAGTACCACACTCTTCTCAGTAACCGTCCACGAAAAGACAACATCAGACTAATCCGACAAAGGTACCCATCATCTCATCAAAATGGCGGACCAAAGGAAAATCCACCAACCAATCCACCCCTCCGTCCGCGCCAAGCTGGATCCAGAGTACGTCGCCCTCCACGACGCCATCATCCAGTACATGGAACCCTCCGAGGCCCGACCCTGGGACCCGGCCTCGCGCTCGGCGCCGAACCCGCTCGCGCACACCACGCAGAAGCTCTCGCCCGTGGGCAAGCAGTGGGACGAGGAGATTGGCGGCGAGATCCAGGTGCGCGTCTTCGTCCCCGAGGGCCAGGCGCCGTCCCAGGCCGGGTGGCCTTGCTTGGTCTGGTTTCACGGCGGCGGGTGGGTGAATGGTGGGCTGGATAACGAAAATGGCTTCTTGACGCATGTTTGTAAATGTAGGTTTTTCAACTCTCGATTTCCATCTTTGCTCGAATCTCTCCTACGCACGTGGTCCCTCTCCTCCTTGTGGGATTGTGGGATATTGATAGACTGGAAACGCTGCTGTGAGTGAGCGGGAGCGTGAGCATTAATGAGAGTTTCAAACACAGATGTGAACTGCGTCGTCGTCACGATAAACTACCGCCACGCCCCAGAACACGTCTACCCAGCCGCCGTTGACGACTGCCTCACGGGCCTAAAGTGGCTCTACGACCCCTCCAACGCCTCCCGTCTATCCATCAACACATCCCTCGTCACAATCGGCGGCCTCTCAGCGTTTGTTTAACCTTCCCCCTTTTGCCCCGACCGCCCAGACAAAACTAACACTTCACCGCTGCACAGAGGCGGCAACCTCGCCGCAATCACAACCCTAACCGCCTCCCTCGCCTCCCTCTCTCCGCCCCCCATCTCCCAACTCCTCCTCTGCCCCGTAATCGACTCAACCGCCACCGCCTCCACAGGCTGGTCCGCCACCCGACACGTCCCCTGGCTGACGCCCTCCCGCATGGGCTGGTACCAGGACCTCTACTTCTCCCGCGGCGACGCCGACAAGAAGCAGTGGCAGGCGTCGCCGTGTTTCGCACCGCCCGAGATTCTGGCAAGGAGCCCGAAGACGTGGCTGGCTGTCGCGGGGGTGGATTTGTTGACGACGGAGGGGTTGGCGTATGCGGAGCTGTTGAGGGGCGTTGGGGTCGAGGTTGAGACGAGGGTGTATGAGGGGGCGACGCATTCTGTGCTTGTGCTTGCTGGGTATGTGTTATCATGGTTTCCAGGTCGGATGGGCGGATTTATCTGTGCCCGTTGGCTGTTTCTCGTTGCTTGGTTGGATATGGGCTAACTAACTGATGTTTTCCCCTTCTAGTGTCCACCAGATTAGCAGAAAACTTGTCCACGACGCGTGTGCCGTCCTGGCAAAGGGCTTCGGAACTTCGTACGACCCTGCGGCGGCTCCTATCCTCTCGCAGGAGGAGTAACCTATTCATGACGTGGAAGGGGGGAAGGGCAAAATGTTTGACCATGTGCGGGGAGTTTCGTCTTACTCCCGCCTTTGGCAACATATCCCAGGGCACTAGAATTCAGAACACGCCTCGAGACCACAAGAGGGATAGATATAGAAAGGGCGAAGAAGAAACATAAAAATGGTATTTGTCTTTTTGATCGTAATTACAAACCATGTAACCGTCAAAGGCGGGAAAACCCCCCGTAAAACTTCTTTCGTAGTTGACGTTTAGAGGACCTAGTCTATTTCCTAGAAGGGCGCCTTGTTTATTATGCTCGGAGAAAAGAAAAAAAGGGGGGGAGGGAATATCCATAATGAAGACTGCCTCGAGCAATCAACCGCGATGCTCTCTTACTGACGTGAACCCATTACGACGCCGTAAGAAGTTTCTGCAACTCGGCAAAACGCACCGGTTTGGGCAAGAAAACATCAAACCCAGACGTCTCCGCATCCCTCCTCGCATCCGCGCTCGCCAGCCCCGTCAGCGCCACCACCGTCGTCGCCTGCAACCTGTGTTCCCGCTCATACTCCCGTATCCTCTTGGTCGCCTCGAACCCGTTCATGATGGGCATGCTGATATCCATGAGCACGAAATCGAATCGCCGGCGCTTACTCGCGCTCGCCTCGATAGACGAGCTCGACGCCTCGATGAATCGATCGAGCGCCTCCTGTCCATTCTCGGCCTGCTCGTACGTGAAGCCGCACTTCTTCATAAACATGACGAGGAGCTTGAGGTTGATCTGGTTGTCGTCTACAAGCAAGACGTGTAGCGTCACGTTCTTTTGTTCCACGAGCACTGGCTGGCCGCCGTTGAGGGCTGGGGAGAGGGCCATTGCGCCTAGGGGCTTGATGATGGGTTGCACGCCTATTTCCGGCTCGAGCTGCTCGGGTCTGACGTGCTGGTGGAGCGGGGTGCCGACTCGTTCGACCTGGCGGATTTCGTTGCCGGGGGTGGTGCCGTCGGGGGCTGGTGGTACGGGGGCCAGAAGGCCGGAGGAGTTGCGCGCTGCTTGGTTTCTCTCTAGCTCTTCTACCCGCTTGAGGCAGTGGCTGAAGACTTTGGCTAGCTTTCGTGGGCCGCATCTGTGATGATCAGTTAGTATGGGCGTCGGTACGAATGCAGAGTTCCCTGAGAACCATCACGAGAACCGTGCAGGTACTTACGGCTGCGGTATCACTTCCACGATTTCCGAAAAGTCTAATAATAGCTTGCTGTGGTCCTGCAGAATGTTGACCGCTTCTTCCGCCGTCGGACAGACAATGATAAAGGGCGCTTTCTTCTGACTAGGAGATCTCCGCGAATTATCCTTGAAACGCTTCTCCAGTATTTCTACCGAAGGGGGCTCAGAGTAGAGATACATATCGGCACCCGGCGGATCGCTGGGGGTTTCTTTAACGACCTTCATCTCGAACCACTCGGAGCACGTCTCCGTGAGGATCTGGTTCAGCTTCGCGGCGTGCTTCGTCATGGGCGGCGCGTCGGGGGTGCGCTCCTCCTCGAGGAGGACAACCTTCATGCCCTTTGTCTCGTTTACGGTGCTGCGCATCACCTCGTCCGGCTCGCGGGGACTCTCCGTATCGTCAGATGCCGAAGTGAAGCTGAGGTGGACGTCGAACTCGGTGCCTCTGTCTTGTTCGGACCTGACTTCGAGAGTCCCCCGCAACGAGTCGACAATCTGCTTGACGATGCTGAGACCCAGTCCCGTACCGGGCTGGAATGAATCCTCCTGGCTGAAGGGGAGGAAAAGTCGGGTTTGTTGAAACTCCTCAGACATGCCCTTGCCAGAGTCCGCCACGCGTATCATGGCGTCGATCTTTGTCCCCTCGGACCTCGTCTGGCCGGTCAAAGATACGAGAACGTAGCCTTGCGTCGTGTACTTCAGGGCGTTACCAAACAGGTTCATGATGATCCGCCGGAGGGCTCCTGGCTGCGCCTTCACCAGCCATGGTATTTTCGGGTCGACGTCTAGCAATATTGATACAGGACCCTTGGCCCCTGGCGCCTGAAAATTGCCCACCGACCTCACGTTATTCGTCTCCTTGACACTGATGCTAGGCTTGGGTCCATCCAGGGATCCCGCGCCGACGAGTTTCTTGAAGGCGTGGCCCGCTGCGATGGCATCGACTACTTCTTCCACCAGAACAGCGAGGTCCACGACGGAGGACATGCTCAAGCTTTCGAGAGAGTCTGACGTGATAGCCACGGGCCTATTTTGGTTCTGCTTTGCACGCCGTCTCATCTGCGCCCGCCCGAGCCTGTTGATCTTGCTGTAGTCGAGAACGTGGTTGAGTGTGTCAAGTAGCGTCTTTCCGCAGGTGGCGATGGAGCTGATGAGACCCGACTGATATGCGTCGGTGCTGGTATCCTGGAGAAGCTCGGCAGACCCGAGGATGCCGTGAAGAGGACTGCGAAGTTCGTGGCTCATGCTCGCGATGAAGGTCGTCTTGGCAGCCTCGTTCTTTTGACTGTTGATGCGGCCTACTTGGGTCATGATGCTGTTGCTAAAGGCACGGAGATACGAGAGGTCTTGGTCGAGATTCATCATGCGGCCGGTGACGGAGGTCCAGAGGAAACATCCGCCGGCTAACCTGTCTTCGCCGTAGTCGAATAGGGGCACAAATACCACAGTCTTCGCTCCGGGAATCTTCTTGAGGAGCTCCTCGTGGACCATCTTGACTTTTCGCCGTCTGCCTTCGGTTCTGTCAGGCGGGGCTGCTCCGTCGACGCCCATCGTCTCCCTATCACTCGCACTATCGTCACCCGATGAAACCCCAAGCCCGGCTTCGGTGAAGGAGAAGGTTTTGCCCATGGGGAACATGGAAAAGTACTTTTCAAGAATGCCGAGTGAAAGTGCCGGGCCCTGCTCGATGCGCGCGCGCGCCCGCTCGTCAGCCACGGAGAAGCTCAAAATCTTGCAGGGCCTGGAGGAGGGTGATGTATCCGAATCAGAGCTGTCGAGCCCAGAGCCCGATGTGGCGGGTCGTGTGACGTCCTCCTCGTCCGACGACTGATTCCTTCCCGACCTCGACTGGCCTCCGGGCATGGCGCTCGTTGCCGTGGCTCCAAAGAAGGCTACGCCGTCAGCCAACGTCGAGTGGCGAAGGACGTCTGCTGCGCGGTTGAAGAGTTTCGACAGACCGTCGACCCTCGGCTGGAATACCTTCTTGGGCGACGGCGGGTTCTCGGTGCTGGGACCCGGGGGTTCCGTGGTACCGCTTTGCTGGCGGGACGCAGACGACTCTCGAGACCGCATGAGTGCTTCGGCGTTGCGAAAATAGGAATTCGATCTCGGCATCGGCCGCCGCGTCGAAATGAGCGGCATATCCGGCGGCCGTACCGTCGAAGGGCTCCTCGGTATGTCGTCCTTGACAGAATTTGAATCTTCGTTCATAATAGAACATCCCTCGATAAACGTCGCCAGTCCTCGCACAATCCGCTCGCCCTTGAACCTATCCACGCGATCTCGCGCCCACTCCAGGTGCTCCATGGCCGTCTGGGCCACGCCCTGCATAAACCGAATCTCCTCCGCCGTGAGTCCATCGTGAGGTCGTTCATCGGAGACGGCAAAGGAGCCAATCTTGTGACCGCTGGGTGAGATGATGGGCACACCAGCATAGAAGCGTACGCCAGGCTCCGACAGCACATAGGGACGCTGGCTGAAGCGAGAGTCGAGGCGGCAGTCGTTGACGATGAGTCCGGTTGCCGTATAGGGGCGGCCCTTCTCATCCAAACCTGTGCAAGTGTTCACCATGGAGTGTTCGCAAACAGCATCAGGACGAGATAGAATGGTGGCGCCGACTAGTGGAGTCACAATTGTCAGCATAGGAGCTCTCAACATGAATAGACCTCCTCTTCCCGTATGTTTGAGCCTGACATTGCACACGGATAAGAAGATTGAAGCATGAAGCCAACATGCGTCAAGAAGGCTATGGGCATGTAGCGATGGTGGTTGGCTCCAGAAGCAGGCCTCAGCCGCAGCCGCAGCCGCAGCCGCAGCCGGGACTGAGCGATGCAGGTAGTCATCGGAATGGAGAGGCTTACGTACGCCACAGTTCATTATCGTTGCTCGACTTGTCATCGTCGTTCAATCCGCCGCTATTCTGGTCTTGCAAGTGATCAAAGTCGCCAAGTTGAATGGAACGGGTGCCCTCGGCAAGGATAGTCTGGGTGGTGGTATCGATCAGCGACACCATAGCCCGCTTGACGTTGAGCTTCAGCACGGCCAGCTGGGCGAAGGCCGTGAGCGCCTTGTCGGCCGAGGCCTTTGGCTTGTAACCGTTGCCATGAAGGTCCGGGGCGGCGATGCTGTCGACATTGAGGGCGACGTTAAATGAGGAACCCTGGGCGACCTGCCAGCTCTGGAGATATCGCTGGACCTCCCGCTCGCGTTGGGCCTCGGACATTGGAGTGGGAAAAACACGCGGATGCGCGCTTAGCACACCGCACAGGGGTGGCGGGTGCGGTCGTCTGTGGGGGGGGGGTGGTGTGAGCGAACTGAGCCGAGTTGGGCGAGGGAGAGGAGGAAATGAGTGAGAGGTGAGATGAGAGCAAAGAATGAGAATGAGCGTAAGTGACAGTGACAGTGACAGTGACAGTGAGCAGCGTGAGAGAGAGAGAGAGACTGTGTCTGTGTGTGTGTAGCCGTGCTCTGATGTCGATGGGTAGCAAGCAGGGGGTGAGACGGCGGTGTTGGCGGCTCTCGTCTACCCAGGCCACTCTCTATCTCTCTGTCCTCGGATTCGTTCTGCTCTCTTATTTTTTTTTTCCTCCTCCGAGTCTTTGTTGCTTTGTCTCTTTTTTTTGGTTTTTTTTTCTGTCAAAAGGGGACTTTCGGATTGACAGCCCGGCGGGGGAGGCGACAACTACGTATCCGCTCGTGGATCTCGCGTGGCCACGGGGTGCATTTGGATTTTGGAGAATGGGGGGCGGGCGGCGGTAACGAAGGAATGCGGAAAGGCGGGCAAGGAAGTGTCACCTAAACCATTCCGGGCGTCGCGCTTTTCCTATTTCTCCTACTTTTTTCTGTTCTGGCTGGCAGCGGCGGCGGTATGGCGGTTAGTTACTGTTACCTGAGGCTGGCGGGAGACACAACAAGGAGTGTGGAGGGGAGGAAGCGAAAAGGGCAGAAAAAAAAAAGAGATACCCAGAAAAAAATATAGGTATGGCAAAGAGATACCGAAGAAAAAACATTGTTGTGGTGCACAGCAGACAGGTGGGCGAGGCTCTCTTTCCAACCAAAGAGAATCTGACATCATACCCCTCTTGTCCCTCTCTCGTCCCTCCTTGGACCCTCGAACGGCACCCAACTGGGCCAGCCGCCAGATCAGATCCACCCGTCACTCCTTTTCTTAGGGTCCTTCTTGCACGTTCTAGAGCGGCCTATGAGACGCGTCCACAGGCCAAAGAAAGACCAATGGAATGACTCGGCCGGACGTTTTTCTGCTCCTGTCAAAGGCGTTCGACCGATCGGATCTTTGATCTTTGTTGGCTGTCAGGATCGATTTTCAAACTTCCAATTTGGTTCATCGCCCGATGCCTGCCGCATTGCCGCCCCCCCCAAGCTTAATTAAGTAAATAAAACTCTCGACTTGCTTAACCATTGCCACGACAACAGCACACATACATCTACACTATTACACTTACTTTCAAGACCAGGTAGATCCGTATCCTTACGAGCAAGTGAGTCCCAACCGGCGACTGCAATATGCGAACTGCAGACTCTTCAACGGCTATCGCGGACCACGTCCGAAGATTCCTTCCTCGGCAGATACTGACTCAGCGACGGTCGCCAACTGAATCAAGAACCCTTTTCATCGGCAAATGTCGCTTGCACTTACTAATTCCATAAGAAAAAGAACACCGAGTCAAGCGGCTCCCATGGTTTTCTCCTTGTCTTGTATCCAGGAACCCGCGGTCAACTCCGGTTCAAATTGCCATGCAGCCGCAAAACTTCTTTTCTCCAAATCCTACTCCGTATCGGCCGAAAAAAGAGGCAAGAGGCGCAAAGATTGGAGAAAACATTCCAGAAAGCCGTAAAACTCTAAAAAAAAAATAAAAAATTTAGCGCTGAACCTTCCTAATCCCAGAGGAAAAATATGACGTGGTTGCAACGTTCTTTAAGCCTCTGGGCATCGTAACTATGTAGCGGCCCAGTTTCGTTTCCCACATATCCACGCCCTCGATATCGAAATGCGCCTCAAACATCCACTGGCGATGGCCTCCCGGACGTCTACTTGCCTATCTGCCCACCGCCTCATGCAGTCAGCCATGTCCATCTATGGTCGATGCTATACAACACCACCACCCTCGTCCACTGCGCCCGTCATATAATGCTCACGCGCCCAGAATCTTGCGTTCAGTCATAGTCGCATCAACACCGCTGGTGCGCAATCGATTCATCATTCCTGCAGTGATGATTCTGTCGTTCTGCGTTTTTTCTGAGAATACATGTCAAATAAACTCATGGTCCTGTGACAGTGGGGTTCGGGATTGGATATCGTCAATCTCAAGAGGATCATGTTTCTGAGACTAGAGACCTCGATTTGGTCCCTAATTTGGATAATAGAAGAGATGAATCATGGGAAAGAATGGCGGAAAATGAAAAACAAATCATCCTGCCCATCCCAGATGCCTCGTATTCACTGCAGCCCTTGATGGGGAAAGATGGATAATCCGCATTAAGGCCTCTTCGTGGAGAGAATGCGGGAAATTCTCTGATAATTCACCATGTATCGAGTACTTCGATTATGCTTAGGAACGTTTCGTATGTACATGAACAAACCATGCATGTATTCTTCCGGTTTGAACACAAAAAAGTTGGCTTCGCGACGGAGCTATGGTACATCTAGCAAGACGACGCAAATCCATCAACGCCAAACGACTCGCTCAAAGTCAACCAAATGGAAGCCTTCCTCGCACTGGAATATTCACCCCCTCTTTACCGTCTCTTCTTTGTAGGTGGTGGAAATCGGTCCGTACCCTAACCGAACTTGATCCCAGAAGACGGGTTCCAGGTGCCTCCTTGTGGCGGCGGCGGCGGCTGGCTCGCCTGGCCCTGGCCCTGTACTGGTCCGCCGGAAGGTGCCGGTGCGCCTGGTTGAGCCCCGAACTTGATGCCCATGTCCGGCTGCCACATATTCGACATTGCGGCCGCGGGTCTCGGGTGTTGCGGTTCAACAGTTGATCCGGCCCACGACTGGATATGTGCCCCCGCAGGAGAGTGAACTTCGTGTCGCGAAGGTGGCTGCTGTTGCTGTGCTGTTGTACCAGGGACGACGCTGGCGCTGAAGTAAGACTGCGGTCGCGGGTCGTAGTTCGAGCCGGTCGGGGAGTGAACCGGTGATCGGTTCAGGTTCAGAGAATTAAGCGGCGGCATACTGACCTCCCTATTAGCTAGTTAGCACGATGAGTTGATACGCAAAGGTGACATTCTTACTCCTCGAGACTCTTGGCGTCCACCCGCCGCTCTGCAGCCCAAGCCTTGACAGGATCGCGGAAGTTCTGGCCCACGACCTTGCTCAAGTCATTGTAAAACTTGCGACCCACGTCCACGTTATTGACAATCTCCTTGTACTTGTAGTAGGCATTGTCAAGCTTCTGAAGCGCCTGCTCACGCTCCCGACTACCGCTCGTCATGTTCTTCTTTTGACTCTCAAACTCTCGGTTGACTCTCTGCACCTCAGTCATGAGGCGCTCTTGCTCGTCCTCCTCCTTGGCCACGGCTTCGATTTCAGAGTCGTATAGCTTGTCGAGGCGCTTCTCGAAAAAGTCTTCAAAGTGAGCCGGGACAATAGCTGTTGTCGGGTACGTTCTCTCGAGTCGTGCAGCTTCTTTCAGGATATCCGGCTTAATGTCATCCGTCCTGGCCTTCTCCCGCAACGCCTCCGCCTTCTTTCTCCTCTTGGACTCAAGTCGCAGGACGTCGTTGTAAGCTCCCCGAAGCCTACCTATTACCGGCTTCAGATGCTCTGGGATATCCATGCGCCTAGAAGAAGGTACATAGTCCATAATGGCTCGGTCGGATCCAGAGAGCATTTCGAGCAGGTCTTGTATCTCCTTGTACTTGTCTCGAACGACCGCATCGCTGCTTGTACTGCTCGCAAAGTAGCCTTCAATCTCAGCCACTTGAGCCCAAAACTGGCCTCCCTGGGGGTCGTTGCGACTTTCCGGTCTTGCCCATCTGTCTGTGCCGTATTTCCGTCTCATTCGGTTATCTTCCTCCTCTTCAGCTGCCAGTATCGCTTTGCCTTCATTGAAAATTGCGATATCAGCAGTTCTTAGCTTATCGATATCCGAAAAGGCTCGTTGAATCCTGCCTATAGCATCGGCTTGCCGTATTTCCTCCGCATGGTGAACCAGACTGTGAGGTAGGCCAAGCGGTTTCTCAAGTGCCTGCAACGAACCAGGCAGGTTGATGGAGCTTAGCATGACGTGTAGCTTTTCCGTCTGTGTTTCCATCTGGCCGATAATGTTCTCGTTTACTATGCGATCGCGTAGTTGCTCGTAGATGGTAATGGCAGCGTGGACGGAGAACGGGACTAGTTTCGTGAAGAGTGCCGGGCCGAACTCAGCCTGGTCCCCGACGTAATCAAAGGGATTAGCTACTTGTGGAGGCACTCGGGCTATTGCCATATTGGCTCTGTCGAGGATTTTGAGCTCTGACTTTGGCGGTACAGGTTCTTCTCAAGTTAGACGTGCATTCCCTACTAGCCAGATGTCGGTACTCACGGAGATAAATAACGTCATTATCCTTCTCAGCCCTCTTGAGATCTTCTTCGACCTTTCGTTTGAGACCGTTGAGATCCTCGAGCACCGCCTTGTTAAGGTAACCGCCCCGACTCTCCTTCAGGCCCTCATTCACACAGCTCACAGCGTGTTGCAAGCGAGCAACCTCTTCGCCATATCTTCTCTTCTCGAGACAGTCGCATGCGGCTCGGTATTGCGCGGCACCAGCAAAGTGGTGATGCTTTGCGCTCATGTGGTGGATCCAGGCAGAGCTGATCGCCTCACTCTTCATCGCAGCCTCCCCCGCCGAGTTGTACAGATCGGACACACGGGCGGCCAGTCGAGCGATGATGGCATCCTTGTAACCGTCCATGACCGCCTTTTGCCAGAAGCACTCTTGCGACTGTGCCAGAAGCAGTTGAGACAGAGACTCGAGGGTGTTGGCGTCCATGTCCTCTGGCGGATCAGACATGCGCAGTTCAGGCATGACTTCCTTCAGCATGTGTTCTAATACTCCAGACGCTGAGGCAAAGTGGCCTGCAGCCGTCTTTAAACCTTCGGTGCCGGATCTCGATTGCGCCACCGCGAGCTGGGAGTAGAGGGAGGCCAGGTTGTACAGAATGTTCATGAGTTCGTATTTGAGGTTGTTTCGCACCATCGGTCGTTCGGTATTGTATCC